AACATCTACACACACGACGTACCGAAGACAGCAGACACAATGCTGGCCCTATATGGAGACGACACTGCTATAGCCGCCAAGCATCGACGACCCGAGATCGTCCGTAGGAGACTACAGGGTGAACTGGACCACATCCAGGACTGGTGCGTGAAATGAAAAATCCGCATCAACGTCCAGAAGACGCAGGCAATCTTCATCCAACGAAGAAGGATTGCGAGACCTCCCGAAGTATCCATCTTCGACGAATATATCCAGTGGAGCGACAAAGTCAAATATCTGGGGATCATATTTGACAAGTCCCTCACCTCGAAAGATCACATAGAAGCTGTCATCGCAAAGACCAGAGCAGCCATGGCCCAACTGGGTACACAGCCGAATGCCGCTAGCGACCAAGCTACGGCTGATCAAGGCCATCGCCAGACCTCAGCTCGCTTACGCCTCCGCGGTCTGGGAGTACGCTGCTCCCAGCTACCGCAAGCGACTTGCTGCTCTAGAGATGAAGCTACTCCGGATCGCCACCAGTGCACCATCCTACGTAAGAAACTCAACCTTGCGTAGAGACCTGCATTGGGACACCATTCACGAGTACATGAGGAAAAAAGCGGAGAAGATCTTCCAGAAAGCTCAGGACCACCCGAACGAGCAGGTACGACTCCTCATGGACTACGATCCGGACGAGAGGCCTCGCAACCGTAGAGCCAAGTACCCTAGACCCAAGTCACAGTTGGCAGGCGCTAACTGGAACCTTGACTAGGACTACTCGCGGTTGAACCAGGTAACATACAAATAGAGGACTTGAAACTCTTGATTTTTCGAAAACAAGGGTTTCAAGAGAACGCAGCAAACCCTCTATCGATGCTCGCTTAACGACATCGATAGACTGTGCGAGGTAAAGGGAACCAACCCGGCGTTCCCAGAGACTGAAACACATGAGGAGACGTTGTAGCAGATCGCAGGTCACGCACAACACATGGCCTTACCGAGACGCTGACGAGTCGGGCCACGGGCCACTCTGAAGCAACAAGAATAGACAACGTCGCATATGTAATGTGTCATTGTGAGTTTTCGCGTTGACGGAGCAAGTTGTCATTTGGATTTTCTTTTTTTATATCCGCAGTGACATCTTTGCATCTTTATTGTGAAATTAATAATGATGATGCACTGCTATATATGTAAAATGATAGCCCACAAAGACACGTTTTGTTTCATAAGTAAATATAGGTTAGGGCTTATGCCTTATTTTTTGTTTTCAGTGGCGTGGTCATATCCAAGTTATGGATATATTATTTAACCGTTAAGTATCGTGGCGTGGTCAAATTTGACCCTCCACGTTTTGTATGCTAAGTTTCGCTACCAAAATATTTATGGCGCGCCGCGCGCGTTCTGCTAATCTTCAACCGGTAGGTGATTTATCGATCCACAAAAATTCCATTAATTTATCTGTAACCACTGCAGAGTTAGGCACATGTAGGGTCAAATTTGACCCGTTTATGGTATAAGTGTTTCTAGTGCGAGTAGCGGGGTATAATGGCAATAGACTCGCTCTGACATAGAATTAAGGACCATTTGACTCGTAGAGCTCAGCATGTTTACCGACAGAACTTCGTAGTGTCATCTTTAAAGTTTCCGGACTTCAGGAACCAGTGGAGGGGAAGGTGTAAAATATGGTCATATTCTAAAAATCGAAAGAAAGAAAGCTCATCGTGCGATAAACGTCGAGAATTCATTTGAAAAAATCATGTCCGCACGAAGACGTTATGCATACAGTATATTCAGATAAGAGATAGACCGGATGTAAACAAAAGGTTCGGGTGATTTTCACGCTAACGCCGCCGTCTCGACGTAAAACAGGAGCCCTCATTGGTCAATTCGCAATTAAATGCCTATGCCGAGCGGCAGAGCAGTCGTATCAAGGCAGAGTCACATTCAGGTTCAGACGTGTTACGTATGTCGTGTGCATCATTGCAATTTGATATTTCTTTGGACGTTTTCGTTTGTTATCTTATTAAGTTGTTGAGTTTGTCGTTGTTATTGTTATACCTTGTTATTGATTGTTATTGTTATCAACTGCTTGCGCAAAATGCCCAGTAGTACAGATACTGCCGATGAAGTTGTAAACTCCTGTAGTCCACCTAGGAAACGCTCTAAAAAAAGACACCTGAGTGCAGAAATGAAAGAGGTCATTTTGAATATATATAAGATCGAGCGCGAAGAGAACGAGGCATCAACCATCAAAGAAATTGTTGTGAAGGTTTCTCACAAAGTTGGGGTGTGTCGCGCATCAGTGTTTAATGTGTTAAGACAATACAAAAAAAATCACACCTTTTCTGAGCCAATGTCCAGTAAACATCGCAAAAGTATTGTTAAATCATTGGATGAAGCTGATAAGCATGCGATTAGGAGGAAAGTGCATGAATTCTTCTTTAGGAATGAAATACCTACTATAGATAAAGTACTGCAGGAGGTAAATGGAGATACAACGTTGCCAAATTTCAAACGATCAACTTTCCATGCGTTACTGAAGCATTTAAATTTCAAATGAAAAAAACGGGGTCGTAATAGTTTACTACTGGATAGAGAAGAAATTGTGCTATGGAGGAGGGATTATTTAACAAAAATTGGGAAATATAGAAATCAAAACAGGAAGATTTATTACCTTGATGAAACGTGGGTAAACGCAGGACACACTACAAGTAAAGTATGGGTTGATGGTTCTGCAACTTCATCCAGGAGGGCCTTTCTAGATGGACTGTCCACCGGATTAAAAAATCCAGCAGGTAAATACGAGTAATAGACAACAATCGGATGTTTTTCAAACCTTGGGAACAAGGTTCTAAACATTAATTCCAGGGGGCAGATAAAACATATTACAAGTAACAAAACTTTTATAATTTTCGATAAAATGCGTGGATGTTTTATTGTCATTTTCATTTGTTAGAACTTTTTTAAGCCATGTTTTATGTGTTTTCGATATTCCAATAATTTTTTAATATAATCTTAAAATATGTCGAATATCATAAACTTAAAAAAAGTTACTAAGTTTTATATTGTGTACCGTTCCTAATATTTCTAATCATTTTAATTCATACTTTAAGCTTTATAAAGTTATAATTTGTTAATATTAATATTTGCGCGTATTTCAGGTTCCTGATCATTCATTTTTTAAAGGTTTATAACTTTAAATTAAATTGTGAAGCGCTGAGTAATCATACGACGTTCAATATTCTTTCTTTCAATATGACTAAATAATCCCAATTATAGCAATCTGATACTCATGTCTCAATGTTTTTTCGCTGAATGTGATGAAAACATTTGAAAAAGGTTCGCTTATTGAAATAAATCTACACCAGTTAGTACTTCGATTTCCAGGTAAAGGGAAAAGGCTCATTATCTGCCATATTGGCAGTGAGGATGGATTTGTTGTTGACGGTCTGTGGTGCTTTGAGTCTAAGAAAACTGGAGATTACCACGAGGAAATGAATGGCGAATCGTTTGAACAGTGGTTTTCAAAAATTTTACCGAACTTAGAGGAAAACGCAGTAATTGTGTTGGATAATGCGCCTTATCATTCTCGAAGAATGGAGAAGGTCCCAACAACAGCTTCAAGGAAAGTTGATGTTCAAAATTGGCTCCGCTCGAAAAATATCAACTTTGAAGAAGCAATGCTGAAAGTACAATTATTAAGAATTGTCAAGGAGCACAAGGCGGAATATCAAAAATACGCCATTGACGAAATGGCAGCAAGTCAAAATAAAACTGTGCTCCGTTTACCTCCATACCATTGCGAGCTCAATCCCATTGATCTCATATGGGCAGAGGTTAAAAATTATATAGCTAAGCACAATACAACTTTTAAATTTTGTGACCTCAAAGGACTTTTCAAAGAAGCACTAGAATTAATAACGGCGCAAAAATGGGAAAACTGTATTAAGCACGTGAAAGACAAAGTTGAAAAGAGAATGTGGGAACTGGACAATATTTTAGAGGAACAAGTCGAGCCATTCATTATTGACGTTGGTGCTTCAGGCAGTAGCGATGATGAAAGCTCATCAAGCTCATCTTTCCAATAAAAGATGTCGTTCATCAAATTCGGTAAGTTATAAGTAATTATAAAGCTACTGTATTTTTTAATTAATTATTGACATTTTTGAACCCATTTTGGCAAAACCTATTCAAGAATCTACTTTCTGACAATGTTCAACCATGCACATTTTTTTACGTTTTGAACGTTTTAATTTGGTTACATATTTACCTAGAAATCAAAAAATATACTAATCAATATTCTAAAAGCAATTTTAAGAGATATACGATTATTTTTAATTTAGGCTAATTTAAACGCCATTTTGAGATTATATTCGACTGTATTTCACCAAACATCAGGCGGCATCCGAAGCTGGAAATCGAAGCAAAAATTTTGAAACCCTTATGTATATTTACATCATTATATATTTCTTACCCCACCCCCACATGATCCTATATCCATCACCAATCGTATACACATCGAATTGTGCTAATTTACTACAAAGTTACGCAAAGCAGCATCTACTATCTAAAATATGTACTGCGTGACTCTTAATACGTCCCTGCCGAATGTTACAGCGTTCGATGATCACGTGGTCTTGTTTATGTCCGGTCTATCTCTTATCTGAATATACTGTAAGTTGTGTTAAAAAGTAAGGCCAAAAACACGCTTGTCATTTTTTAGATAGGAAATCTAAATCAATTTTTTTTATTTTAGGTAGCAGCTATGCACATATTTGTTAATTTCACTGGATACTGAAGTTTTTTTTTTAATAAAGTTATAACTAACCGTATTCGTTTTATTTTATAAAGTTGTAAAACTAGTTGAAACCAAATAACTTAACATAAATACAAGGTACAACATTAGATTTTTTATGTGAAAAATCAATGGGGTCAAATTTGACCCTGCCATGGTATAAATGTTACTGTTTTAAGGGTTAAGGGTTAAAGCTTAGAGATAACGACCAATCAATACTTACTTTCCGAGCTTTCTTCATCCAGAGCGACTTCGATTTTCAAATCTCTTATCCCGAACAATTCCTCGTTTATAATATTAATGACTATTTGGTACCATTCGCCGACCAAAGCTGGCCATCTGTGATCGAACGATATGTTCAGCTTCGACTCTCGAGGCACGATTGTTGCGGTGGATAACGGCCTTACGTTGTCGAAGTCGATTCCGTTGTGACTACGTTTGAAGTGTAACAATTCTGGATGATTTTTCGAAGACTCATCGTAAGACGAGTACCTGAGGTCTACGCTGCATTCCGTCGAATTTCCCAGTTGAATGTTGATAGAGTCAATCTGCAAAATGTGCGTTTCGGCTTCAGTCCTTTCATCAACTTTGAAAACTTGAATACACGAACGATGTATTTCGCTGCTTTATTTCCTTACCTGTATTTCTTTATTAATGTCATGAGGATCCGGCATAAATTCGATGATAAACTTTTTCACTTCGTCCTTATGAAAACTCAAGGCGATATTGTCAACATTCGTTACTGCAAACTCCGAGTTACAGTTTGGGGCATTGATGGTTACGGAAATCTTGGCAAAACTCAGGGGAAAAGGACAGGTACTTCTGAAAGGTGAACATTTTTGTTACCTTCTATTATACAAGGTGGGCCGCTTAAGTATATACGGAGGACAGCGGTTAAAGCGTTATAGGTAGAAAAAAAACGGTTTTGTAAAAGATTTGCCAAAAAAAATATTTTTTTTATACAGGGTTTTCAGTTTACTCTAGGCGTAACGCAACTTCGTTAAATGCTCATAACGTTTTTGTTTCAAATAGCCACACCCTGTTTTCTCGTTACATTTGATGCAAAATTTGATGTCCTTGTCCTCCAAATGATGTTAGCTGAACCACCGTTGAGCATCGAAGATGTATCATTAAAACATTTACCTTATGTAGATTTCTACAGTAACATTTTGATCCACCTCATATACATTTTTCAAAAACCTAGCTCTAGTTTCGATGCAAGCCGTAATGTTCGCCATATCCAACGAGAAATGGAGTGGATTTGCCGTGAAAGCTGGCTGCCATATTATAATCGCATTTTGAAGGACATCTTGCTGTAACTTCGGATGCCCATACGGAATTTGTTTCTAAAATGTTGAAGGATTTAAATGTCGAAACATTTGTCTTTACAATTAGTCAGCTACCTTCAATATCTTTTTTAGATTCTCATAAATTCTCCGTTTATCATCCAAACTTGTAGTAGTATTTACTCCGAGTATCTCCAGCGCTAACTGAATATAATCCTGAACGTTGGCCGTTAAGAACGCGCATATCAGTGCCTTTTCTAAGACTTGCGACGAAATTCCCCACCATTTCTCTTTTCGAAAATCCCATAACATGTGAGTATATAAGCTGAAACGTTTCGAAATGAGAAATACATTTACAAGAACTGCATCGTACGTACGTCAAAGCTTTGCCATAATCTTTCGAATCGTAGCACTCATCTGCCATTTCTAGGACAAGGTGTCGTCTGGTCCTCGGACATTTGTACGTTTTATACTGCGAGATGGCCAAGCCGTAAAGCTGGATGATTATATTCTGCAACAACGCGGTGTACAAAATAAAAAACGAAGCACAATTCTTAAGTAATGCATACTCCTAAAATATGATATGAAAGTAGAAGAAGCTACAGTCAAGACACCAATTTATAAAAGGAAAAATCCAACACTTTGGTTCTGAGAGACGTTCAAGGATCATAAATTAAAAAGAGGCTAGAATTATAAATAGTTCATGATAACTCTCGATGACGATGACATCCTAAGAGGGCTTCTTCGGTAAACAACAAATTTAAGATTATATATCATTCAATTTAAAAAAAATGACTAGCAAAATGACAAAGCAATTTCGGCACTTACCGAATGGTTCACCTGTTTTTCCAAATACTGTACAGCTTGAATGCCCCTTGCCTCCAAGTGAGGATCAGGCGGTTCCGATGTAACTTTTCCTGGTCTCCAAGGTCGCTGACCATAGAATTCCATGCTACTTACTCCTTCTAGAGGATCGGGGCTTGGATATGCGATTACGGTCTACAAGAAAAAAGGTACACACATCGGTACATCAGAAGTTACAGGACAACAGAGTGTTTCAAATTCGACTCTCACCACTAGGATCTCGGAAACGATAAGAGATACAAAGTCGCTTAAACGGGAAGAAAAGTTGCACATTTATGTAATTCAGCTAATAGCACACAGCAAGTTACGCAGGGTGGTGTGCAAGAAAGCCGTCAGCTGCCTATATCGGTGACTCCATACAATGTCATGATGAAGAATTGACGAATAATGCAATAAAATGAGAAACTAATAATTGTGTGTAAACACGAAATAACGCACGAAACCGAAAGAAAGTGAATTTACCCAAAATCGCATTTACTTCTTCCTGACTTTATTTGAAAAGATTTGACCAGTACATCAACATTTCCATTTTCTGCTCTAGAAGGTAGTAGTAGTAGTAGAAATATTTATTTAGCACATTTGGCTACATAAACAAAACAATTATAAACAACTTAGAATTAGTAAATTCAAGCCATATGGTGTATGATGTAAATGCTGGGCAACCTATAATTGTAGATTTAACAAGTGATTTCTCAATTTTACTTTAAATTTTGTCAAAGTTTTCTGGTCTTTTATCTCCGAGTATAATTTATTATATTCAATCAACCCTTGATGGAATACAGATTTGTAGCATATGTTATACTTTTTGGTCATTAAATGGAAGTCATCTTTATTTCTGGTATTATGTAAATGATGGTCGACATTTGATGATGTTAAATTAGTTAGACTTGATGGAAATATATTATTTTTTACTTTATAAATGAATATCATTACAAGATATTTGATAAAATTTTTTACATTGAGCCATTTTAATTTGCTAAGCATCTGCTTAATTGGAGTATATTTATCTTTATTTAGTATTATTCTCATGCACTTATTTTGTAAAATTTGCAGTCTTTCAAAAATGGAATTATTCGATAAATATAGAATAGTCGAACAGTACAAGAAATTTGGAAGAATGATGGTATTATAGATAATTTTTCTGCTATATGAACTCAGACATCCAGAAACTCTCGATAAATATCCCACTTTACTACTAATCTTATTTATAACTTTTTCATAATGAATATCAAAAATTAATCGAGAGACAACAAAAACCCCCAGGTATTTAAAATTTTCTACGAATTCAATATCTTCACCATCAATATTCGTTTGTACATTGTTTTTTTCCGATTAACAAGGCTTTGGTTTTACTTGCATTTAATTTTAGTCTGTTAGATGCTAACCATTTTGAGACAAGCTTCAAGTCTTCATTTATATGAGAGAGATACCAGACTGAATATTTTTAGTACTTATATAAATCATAGTGTCATCGGCGAAAATCTGAATTTTGCATTTTTTGACTATGGCAGGTAAATCATTTATGTATAAAATAAAAAGAAGTGGTCCCAGGATACTGCCCTGTGGAACACCCAACGTGTTTTCAATTTTTGATGAAATAGTGTCATTAACCTTTGTAACTTGCATCCTTTTAGACAAATAATTTCTAAACCAATCTAAAACACTTCCTGTTATACCATATGCCTTCCAATTTACCTAACAAAATATCTCTATCAATCGTTTCAAATGCCCTCTTCAAATCCAAAATACTGCTATAATAACTTCTTCTGAGTCTATGGCTCTTCTCCAATTCTCAGTTACCAACTGGAAAGCCGTTTCTGTGGAATATTTTTTACGAAAGCCTGCTTGCGCCTCCACTAAAATTTTGTTTTCTTCTATAAACTGCATTAATTGGTCATGCACTATGGACTCTAATAATTTTTCAATGTCTGGTAACACATCTACTGGTCTCATATCGCTGCATCTTTTAGAATTTTTTATTCTGGGAACTGGTGTTATTGTAGAGCATTTCAAATTTTCAGGAAAAGAACTGCTTCTCAGTGAACAATTGATCCAATTTAATACAGGATATCCCAAAATTTCGAAACAGTTTTTCAGCACGTTTTTAGTAGTGATGTCGGCACAGTTGTTATTTGATTTTAAACTGTTTACTTTTTTTCTTAGATAATTCAATGATACGCTGTGAAATTTTGAAAGTGTATGCAACATTTCCCCCTGGAAACTGATTTTCATATGGTCAGGTGCAGCATTGGCAGTACCCACAATATCAACAATACTTTCCACAAAATATTCATTTAGTTTGTTTGCAATCACCAAAGAATTTGTTTCGGTACCGTTTTCGAATTGAACTTGATCTACACAATCATGCGGCTTCGAATTGATCAGTCTTTTTAAAGTCTTCCACATCTTTACACTGTCGCACTTGTTATTATCGATTCGTTTATCGTAGAATTTCCTTTTTTCTTCTCTAATTACATATACACATTTATTCCTAAGAATTTTATATACTTCCCAATCATCATTTGATTTTGTGAATATACATTTATTGTATTGTTTGTCTCTCAAATTTTGGGCTGCCTTAATATCCTTGTTATACCAGGGTGTATTTTTTGTCGAGCAAATCACTTTTTTATCAGTTGCAAGATCTAAACAAGTTTTTATATTTCCTATTATGTTGACATATATTTTTTCCAAGGTGGCATAATCAGAATTTTAATTTGACGTTTCATCTCTTGATCTCAATAATCAGCTTTATCTTTATTACGAAAGTCATATTGGACTTTTGTACGAATTAAGTTTTCAATTCTGATTCCAAAAATGTATATGCCCTTATATTGACATTCTAAGTTATTTAAAAAAGCTAATGTTTTCATAGTAGACCTTGAAAATGAGGGAAAAGCGTATTTAAAGGATATTCAGATACTTTTCATATTACATATATTGAGGCATTCTACACGATACTTTAGCTGTGAATAACATATTTTAATGCAAGATATGTGCATCGGTTTAGATATGGCAGATATGAAATGTATTTAGGAGGCTGCAATATCATCGAAGATTTTATTCACTCTACAATATTTCTCTCAGTTAGGTTAATTGAAGGCATACAGGCAGTATTTTAGATTGGTTCAGAAATGATTTGTCTAAAAGGATGCAAGTTGAAAAAGTTAATGACACTATTTCATCAAAAACTGAAAATACGTTGGGTGTTCCACAGGGCAGTATCCTGGGACCTTTTATACATAAATGATTTACCTGCCATAGTCAAAAAATGCGAAATTCAGATTTTCGCCGATAACACTATGATTTATATAAGTACTAAAAATATTCAGACTGGTATCTCTTATATAAATGAAGACTTGAAACTCGTCTCAAAATGGTTAGCATTTAACAAACTAAAATTAAATACAAGTAAAACGAAAGCCTTGTTAATCGGAAAAAAACAATGTACAAATTTTCAACTGAATATTGATGGTGAAGATATTGAATTCGTAGAAAATTTTAAATACCTGGGGGTTTTTGTTGACTCTCGATTAATTTTTGATATTCATTATGAAAAAGTTATAAATAAGATTAGTAGTAAAGTGGGATATTTGTCGAGAGTTTCTGGATGTCTGAGTTCATATAGCAGAAAAATTATCTATAATACCATCATTCTTCCAAATTTCTTGTACTGTTCGACTATTCTATATTTAGCAAATAATTCCATTTTTGAAAGACTGCAAATTTTACAAAATAAGTGCATGAGACTAATACTAAATAAAGATAAATATACTCCAATTAGGCAAATGCTTAGCAAATTCAAATGGCTCAATGTAAAAAATTTTATCAAATATCTTGTAATGATATTCATTTATAAAGTAAAAAATAATATATTTCCAACAAGTCTAACTAATTTAACATCATCAAATGTCGACCATCATTTACATAATACCAGAAATAAAGATGATTTCCATTTAATGACCAAAAAGTATAACATATGCTACAAATCTGTATTCCATCAAGGGTTGATTGAATATAATAAATTATACTCAGAGATAAAAGTCCAGAAAACTTTGACAAAAAAGTAAAATTGAGAAACCACTTGTTAAATCTACAATTATAGGTTGCCCAGCATTTACATCATACACCATATGGCTTGAATTTACTAGTTCTAAGTTGTTTACAATTATTCTGTTTATGTAGCCAAATGTGAAAAATAAATCTTTCAACTACTACTACTATATAAAATGATTCCAAAAATGCATATTACTACTAATTAAATCAGCTATACTTCAGTTTTTGAGAAGCATGTTTACTGAAAATTCATACAATTCTTCCCTTTATCGACCATAATAAGCATTGTTTTTTCAAAGATGGAGGCGCTTTGAATGACATCTTGACATCTGTAGTTTAATAGTCTTTGAACGCAAGTTGCGTGCATCAGTTTAGATATGGCAGATATCCAATGTGTTTAAGCTCATCGAGGCTTTTAATTACTGTAAAATTTCTGAGCGTCATTTTGTTAATTAGCTCAACAAACAACTTTGCCCCATTTAATCGATTTCATATATCTTACCACACGAAATCATAATGATGAGAGCCGAATTTAAAACACCCGGTATTCATTATTAAAAAAATCATATTCAAGTGAGTTTATTATGTTTGTATTTATTTGATTCTGCTAAAAACCTAAGAAATACAATCTAGAATTTTTTGATTCGATAATACAGAGGCAACTCTTAAATCTCAAGCTGGAAAATAGCAAAAAAATTTGATCAGTTAAACTTTTTTTACTTGCCTAGTTGTTGAAGTTGCTGCTAAATGTTTTTTTGAAAATACGTGGATGAGTCCACTTGTTAACATAATGAAAAAGTGCACACATGAAGTTTGTTATTAAGTATAGGCTTTGAAGTTGAGTCATTAATTTTCAGATAATGATTGTAGAAGGAAGATAAACCAAAATATGTGTGTAAAAATAAAAAAAAAATAAAAAAAAATGTTACCTTGTTTTATAAAGTATCCTCCCGACAAGTATTTCAGTGCGGACCTGTATTTGATCGTGCGGTCGTTGAGGTCTTAAGTCACCTGATTCACGAGCCCTTTGTACTACATTAACAAAGGCACGAGGGGTTGGTTGCACTCGATTGGGAAACCGGTCCGCATAAATCCGTGATGCCGCATGTCCACAAGTTCAGCATTTTCGTAAACATGTGCCATTTTTGATTTCGTTTGAGCCACGCAACAGACACCACTATTCACTCACGCGTTACCGACTGACACTGACTGTATACAACTGAATAAAGTAATTGTAAAAACATCGTTCCAAATTCTTTCGCTTTTTTGTTTCCGATGCGATGAACCGATAAGGCGGATTATATCCGTTGTTGCCAAACACGAGCACATAATATTATTATTGAGACAGGGCGGTACTCAAACTTCCAAAGGGCTATAACTTTGTTACTTTAATTTTACCAGGAAAATGGTAAAGGAAAAAACATTTCTTTTGATCAGATCTACTCACTGTTAAAATAAATGACTCAACTTCGAAGTCACCCTGTATAATATTATATGTTTCCAAATATTTCAATGATTCAACGTTTTCAACTATTTTATAATTTATCCTACCTGTCCCTATTATTATACATTTTATTTTAGAGGTATTCAATTTTAGTTTATTTACATTTAACCAACTTGCGATTTTTGCCATGCCAGAATTTAGCTGAATTTACAATAATCTAAAATATCACAAATGTCATTAATGTATAAAATAAGTACTACATTTTACCGCCTAGCGGGTACAAAGGCAGAGATATTTTTTGAGATGGATAATGAAGATCCAATTTTTGTACAAAAAGACAAGTGACTTACCGAACACAATTCTTTGCACGCTTTCTTTCGCAGTATGGCCTGTTGAGCTGCTTGCTGATAATAGATTCCAGGATGTTGCGTTTGAACAGCCGGAAGACCCAGTTTAACTGCCTCGTCAAATGTATCTCCAAAAACAGCATACCTAAAACCATTCGCTAGTGAACCTATGTACGAATAAAATTAATCAAACTTAGGGTATTTATGAATTTAAACTTTATGAAGTTTGTTCTCAAAAATGCTAGCTTTTAACGCTTGATGTAAGATCTTTTTTGCTTTGCTGACATTTTAAATATTTGGTTTAATTAGTTTATTATTATAGTCACATAATCACATAACGAAATAATCACTCCTCAAGGTTAGTTTAAATAAAAGCAATTTTTGATAAAAAATGTTACATTGTTTACATGTTTTACTATAAAATGGTGTACCCTCGAAATAAATAAAAAATGCTTATCGGCTACACTGCTGTACTCCAATTCTGAAAAGTTTCATTTTCTCTCGTATACACTGAATATACTTACTGTTTGGAAAGCCAAGCATAATGTTCAAACGCCAATTCCTGAAACCCTATCCTGCTTCTGAATCGATCGATGTGAGATTTAAACGTTGAAATAGCATCCCTCGCTAGATTTAGAAGAAACAGAAGCCGGCATATTTTGTAGTTGATGAAACCGGCAATGGTGCGGATCTCGAGCGAGTTCGTGTCCACTATTCGTATTTCTAACAGGTTTTCATATGCGTGGTTGTAGTGCCTGAAAATATGCATCATCACCTGCGCGCCAAGTCGACGTAAACATGAACACAATTCATGAAGAAATCCGTGGATTACTATAATTGTTTTTTTTTGTTAATATCTTAATTGATCTTCTAAATTAATTAGTCATTGTTGGACTTCTTAATTTCCAAAATTCGATGGTTCCACAGAATTTTCAAAATTTATAAATCGATATTTTTCAAGATTATTGAACTGTCATCGGCAAAAAATAGCAGCTAAAAATGATCCAAAGATTTAAAATTTACAAATTTATTAAAGATTTAAAAAATCGGAATTTCCAAATCCTCAGTTTACCAAATTTAAAATTCCAGAAAAGACTTCATAATTTGACCTTTCCAAATTTTCCAAGTGCAAATTTTGGGGCGCATTTAACTATAATTATTAATTTTCATAACATAATTTTGTAAATAGCAACTAAAAAAATAATCTTGCAACTTTTTTGTTATTATCTTAATTTTTATATTGATCTTATTACAAATTAATTAGTCATACTTGATTGTTGGACTTTCCATTGCAGTAACACAAATTTTCATTAACTCGAAAAATATTTTCTACTTTTTAGATCGATTTGCTATTAAAGCGCGTTATTTAATCTGTTTAATTTACAATTTATTTCGTCAAAAGAACGAAGCAGTCTGAGAAACTTAAATCCTTGAATTCTTGTCCCACATTTTGCTAACACCCTTTATATTATTTATGTATATTCTTACTTGTACGCAGTGTGAATATCTTGCTTCAGCTCATTCAAAAACCCCAATTTGAATTGATGCCGAACATACAAATACTGATGGGAATTCTTGTTCAAATGTTCCTTGTGCGATTTAACTGTTTTCGCTTCATTATGATAATATGTCTGAGCAAATTCGTAGAAGGCGTTTTCTAACCTTGTTGCATATCCCTGAAAAATGTAAGTGGAGCATCAAAGCAGGAGAAGATCCCAGATCTATTTCTAGATGGAACCTGTGAATGATTTGCGTAGAGCGCCGAGAGACTCGGGTCTCAGTTCTTTGTAAGTTCAATCTGGACCAAAGCTTGGAATTCTAGTCAAGTCACATCAGGTTCAATCCGGAAATGAAGTTTTTGAGAATAAAAATATTGATGAAAACCATAATTACTTAAAATACAGATATTAAGAAAGACAAAATTTGCATATCTAAGAGTTTTCACTGACCATAAAATATTCCTTTAATTTTCTTTTAAACATCTTTACCTTAGAAGTAGGCGTATATCATTATTTAGTTTATTGAATACAAGTAATAATCCTTTCTGAAATATTGATTTGTAAGTTACATTACTATTCCAATTTTGTAAATAAAAATCTACATTTCCTCTTGTATAGTAATGCAGTAATAGTTATTAAATTCTATGAAGTGTTCTAAATTTTGTGACAAAAGATGATTGTTTATTTTAAATATAGCTTTATTTTGTAGGACTTGTAATTTTGAAAATACAGCTTCATTGGCAGTGAACAAGATAGTTGAACAATATAGAAAATGTGATAGAACAATTGTATAATGCACTATTTTTTAGAATATGTACTAAGACTATTAGAAGCCCTATAAAACTAATTTGTTTCTTTTTGTCAATTTTTGAAATAATGATCCTCAAACTTTAGTTTACTATCGATACATATACCTAAATATTTAAAAAGATAAATTACTTCTATAGAGAATCATTTTAAATAAAAACAAAAATGCTAAGATTAATAATATGTAAGGAGAACTAAGTGGTTGATCGAAAAAGAAGTTATTTAGTTCTGATTTTCATATTCAAATTAACAAATCATTTATTCCTACCACATTTAGAAAACTTCATAAAATTAGATAGTCATTGTCATAACTATGCAGTATAGATCTTCATATGCAAAATTGTAATATACTAAGTGACATATAAATCCGAACACCCAGTTTAAATGGTTTAAATCTAATAAAAGTTGGTGAATGTATTTATCTTACTGTAAATAACAAGTGAAAAAATGTTCAGCCTTATCAGTTGGACATTCCGGTTTTTATACTGCTTTTTTTTTAATTCACTAACGCTCTAAAAATGAATATTTCAGCCGCAGTAAAGAATCAACGTTGGCGGATTTTGGTTCTTGACATCCTTTACGATCGGTTACGATGGCTAGAGTACGGAGACCTGTACGATTTCGTCAACTTAGTGAGTTTGATAGGGGCCGTATAGTGGGACCTCGGGAAGCTGGACTTTCTTTTCGGGCAATTGCAGTTAGAGTGCAAAGAAGTGTAGACACTGTGGTTAGGTGTTGTCAGGCATGGCTTCGAGAAGGCCGTACGCAAAGAGCAAGGGGCACTGGACGCCGCCGTAGAACAACAGACCGTGAAGATCGCCGCCTAAGATTATTGGCCTTAAGGGACCGTTTCTCCACTACCAGGTCCATTGCAAATGAATGGTTTGCAGAACACGGAAGACCTATTGGCATGCGAAGTGTTTACCGACGGATGTGAAGCTTTGGCTTGTTTTCATACCGGCCACACTGGGTCCTCCCTTTAACTCGAGAACACCGACGTAATCGCCTTGAGTGGTGCAGACAACGGTCACTCTGGGATCAGGAATGGAACAGTATTGTCTTTAGTGACGAGTCTCGATTTTGTTTAGGTATGCACGATGGTCGTGCCAGGGTTAGAAGGCGACGTGGTGAAAGGAGGAATCCACAGTTTTTCGTTGAAAGACATGTTCATCACACTGTTGGAGTTATGGTTTGGGGTGCTATAGCTTATGGTTCCAGGTCACCTTTAATCTTCATCAGAGGTAACATGAACGCGCAGCGTTATATCCACAAAGTTCTAGAACCCCATCTTTTACCCTATCTTGACACCCTGGCAGATCCAACTTTCCAACAAGATAATGCCCGACCACATGTTGCAAGAGTCACAATAGACTTCTTTCAACATAATGATGTCACATTGTTACCATGGCCACCAAGATCTCCCGACTTATCCCCAATTGAGCACGTGTGGGATATGATGGGTAGGAGATTGCTCAATTTGCAACGTCCTCCTCAGACTCTAGAAGCACTTCGAGAGCTGTTGGTGGTTGCCTGGAATGAGATACCACAGGAGCACATTGGCGCGTTGGAGAATGCGTAGCACATCAGGGTGCATCCACACATTATTAAAGGTCAAAGGGCTTTAAAGCAGTGCAATCATTTTGAAATTTTTATCATTTACTTATTATGCTTCATTAAGTACTTATACAAAATTTTATTAAAATAAAACCATTTAAACTAGGTGTTAGGATTTATATGTCACTTAGTATATTTAAAAAGATAAATTACTTCTATAGGGAATCATTTTAAATAAAAACAAATATGCTAAGATTAATAATGTGTAAGAAAAACTACAGGGGTTGAATGAAAAAAAAATTATATCTTATTCAGTTCTGATTTTCATATTCAAATTAAAAAAATCATTTATTACTTCACAAAATTAGATAGTCATTGTCATAACTATGCAGTATAGATCTTCATATGCAAAATTGTAATAGTAGCATAACCAGCAAATCTGTATTTCAAAAGGGAGACTTCAATAAATTGAATGATATTAAACAGTGTTCAAATTTAAAAATGTTTAAGGTGAAATTAAAAAATCGCTTTATGAATACTCAAAATGCATAGTGATGTATTTTTAATAGCCGAGAATTTAAAATTATAGAAAATTGATTCAAAAAATGTGTACACAAATAAGTGTATAAAATTGTTGCAGTGTTAATGCTAAATAAATAATAAAACGTAAATGTAACTATTCTGTATACCTGTAAATGATCTCCGTGTGGTAACACAAATAAAGACTGTGAATTCAATTCACAGCTAGCGCAAAGAGCTACAGCTCTTTCAGCAGCCAAAGTATCTTCTCCAGCTGGTAATGGCAAAGTTGTTTGTATCAGAACAACCACAATTCTTGTGGCTCGACCTTCCAAAGCTGCTCTACAAATTCATAGAGAATTATGCAGTTACTGTATTAATATCACATTTTAGAAAGTTTTTGTGATTACATTTATGTTCAGATAAGGCATCATCACTCCAGCTTATTCTAATTATTATAATAATGCAACCAAAAGACTTGTGTTACGAATTTTACTAAATATAATAATAATCAAAACTAAATCCAGCTACAGCGACAGGTCCTTCTGACTTTACATTTTGAGCTAAAACACGTTTTGGTGGATTAGGTTGGAAATCAGCGCTGATGTGTATGATTCTATTATCTCTTGAGAAAGTGTTTTCTTTAACAATTCCTTGGCAGTTGATTATTTTTGCATATTAGTATCATATCTAAAGATAAAGTTAATCTTGTAACAAGATATTTAATGATCTAGGAACATACATAAACACATATGACCAAAGATGGAATAATTGCAATCGTCACATGTTTAAAAAAATTAAAATTGTATTGATTACATTGTAGATCTATTGGTATGCATTATCAATAACTCATTGAAATATGGTAATATTATTAAAATTATTTTGCTTAATGGTTTCATATATACTATATTGAAGAAAATACTTCGCTCACAAGGAACTTTAAAAGTAGCAAGGCCCTAATGTAACCTCACCAGTGTATACGGGGTGCAGAATAGAGCTAGGCATCAAATAAATCACGATTTTAAAATAAGAATCTCTTTTTCAATGACAAACTTACCTCATGGATTGGACCCTCGATGCACATTCAATCATTTTTTCATTCCACTGCAAATCACTCCAATCTAAATCGTAAAAAATCACCATTACGGCTGGTATTTCATACAGGTGTTTATGCATCCAGTTCCTTTTCAGTATTCCTTTAGGAATGTACCAGTCATACGAGTTGCGCTTCGGTTTGATGATTGGGAACTCATGATCATTAGCGATCAGCTTAAATAGCACCGGTGAATGTTCATTCCTTCTGTTATTACTGAATATCTCCCAAACAGATTTATGTATGGCATTATTGATCACATCTAGGCCTGATATGCCCACTGGAGCAAGAGGTTTCACGCACAGTTCAGGGGGAAAGTCGCTGTTGCTTTGTATTGTATTAGCTTGCATTGTGAACGGTGAAATATAGCAATATTAATGTTTAAGAATATTAAATCAACACATGCACCAATTGAAAATATAAATATTTAAATATATTTTGTTTGCCTTGGAGTTTTATCAAACATAACCCTCTTTTTGAGAGGACCAGTGTTGCCAGATCAAAAAAATAAGATTCAGCAGAAATTAGAATGAAAAACGCCTTTTATAATTAAAAGTTATTTTTTAAGCTGTATTACTAAAAAAATGCATTTATAATGTTTGTATACGCTTGATAATTAAATTGTTTAATAAAACACAATTCACTATAAATTTCTTGCTACTGTGGCGAAGGCAGTAAAATATTATTTTATTAGCATCTACCTAAGACACAATTTGAATACATTTTTTCCTGTCGTTTGTACATAATTTTGAACTAATTTTCAATACCTAGATCAGAACTATTAAAAAAAACCAAATTTTTAATTTCCATGTGATGATTATAATACATAATGTTTCTGTAAACTAGTGGAAGTAAATTAAAAGCATCTAATATGCTCGTACTCGTATAACTAGAAAGTAATAAAAATACCAAGTAACAGTTTTGTAATATATAATCCTAAATACATACGATCTAATAAAATATTACATTTTTCAAAAATACAGCTTACAATACTTACTAAATTAATTTATTTTATACATCTCATTGTCATCTCATTGTTATGATGCGTACCGGTACGCAAATTTAGCGATTGTTGAAGTTTTTTAGAGCTGAAAGATCGTTAATAGTAATCAAAATCGATTGAACTTTAAAATTCACCAGAAATGGTCATTTTTTTCAACTCACAAATCACTTTTATTCCTAAAATCACCAGATCTGGAAAAATTTGACTAGACCTGGCAACAGTGACCTGGCTAGACATCAAGAGACTAACTGTCAATTGTCAACCACAGCTGGCAGATATAGAGATGGGTTTCTGATTTCGATATTCAGGTTCTCCGCTGCCTTAAATCAAATCCAAGCGGATAACCAAAATTTCCGTATTATGTACCGCGGTTATAATATGGTTCAAGATGACACACGGGATGGTGACGTCAGTTACTCGAATCGCTTGAACGCGTTGGTTTTAACCGCGGTTTGTTGCAAGTTGTTTATTTTAGAAAAGCGCGTATATAATTTCTGTTTATTTTTATTATCACTTAATAATCGGTGCTTTTTCGTCTACAGCTGTATATGGAAAGTTTAAATAAGAAACCTTTCATAATATTCATGGGAGAAATGTGTTTTTTTAATGATGGAACTATGGCTTTGTAGCTATGATAACTTTCAATTCTCTAAATTTTTCCGCATGTCAAAGAAAACATTTATTGATTCAGCAGAAATGATGAAAAAAGAAATTAGCAAAACCGTATACAGGTGGATATCATTTAGTGAGTTTATATGGCCATATTTTAATATTCTTGTGGTATATGGCTACACAGGATACTTTGTTAAGCATAGGAACTATATTTAAAGTGTCCCCAACAACCGTAATGTGTATAACTAATAAGGTGTTCCACTTTATGGTAAAACTGAAGTCAGCCTGTATCATTTTTCTCAAAAATGAAGCTGAAGTACAATAACAATATCCAATACCCGGCAAAATTCTAACTTGTCACATTTCAAATAATAACCAGAAATATAAAACTACTCTTGAGTTGGGTAAATACCACAATTTTGCGGTGATAACTATGACATATAACAGCTGATTCGTGACGTCACGGATCTTATAACCAAACTGATAACTACACTCGCTTGAACGGATCGGTAAATACCAACCCAAAATGGTAAATACCATTTCCATTTGGTTATCCGCTTGAATTTGATTATAAACTTACAAAAACGTATGTCATTGGTTAATCGGCGGTAATATTTAATCTAACCTAAAACACTTTTCTAAACAAAGTCACCCTCATTTTTTATGAAAATAATTTTAGTTCGTTATAAGTATGTCGGCGGAAGTTTCACTACCGCAAAAGCGGTACTACAGGCAAAGAGCACATTCAAATCCCATAGCAGATCACTGTTTTGATTAGTAAGTATACTCATGTTTGTAATCCCTAAGCAGTGTTCTCGTCAAAAGCACCCTCGAGTCGCAATTGCCAGTTGCTTTAAGTGAGAGAGGTACCTTAACAGGGTTATATGTACATTGTGTTACAGTCCAGCCAGTCCAGATGAAATGGATTGGGGTAAGCTGTATCCCAACAGGTTTACATCGAAAGGATGCTCGCCACCAGTGGAATTTGTTGATATAGGATGTGGTTATGGTGGTTTGCTCGTTACTCTTTCGCCTATGTTTCCCCAAAGCCTGATCTTAGGAATGGAAATCAGAGTTAAGGTATCTGATTATGTTATTGATAGGATCAAAGCTCTAAGGTCACAGCATCCAGGCGAATATGAGAACATAGCATGTCTTCGGTCTAACGCTATGAAATACCTACCTAATTTTTTTAAGAAAGGACAGGTCAGTTTGAATTTTTTTGAGGATCACTCTACTTTCGAATATTTCTATTTTTTATAATTCAAATCATCCAAAATGATGGTTTTTATTTTATTTTTGGACTTTGCAAATTTGATCATGTGTCAGCAAAATATCAAATACTCAACTGGTTGAAAATAGATGATTTGATTGAATATTACTACTCAGTGTTCATCCATGAATTATTAGTTATGTTTAAACCACCTTACTTGCAAAACAAACCATGTAACAGTGATATTCATTCTAGACCACTTAGGCCCGTATCGTCAGTCGTCCCTACAATTGTAGGGCGCCTGTATGGCCTCCTTGATTGTCATAGTTTTCTACTGTTCCGTGTCGGCGCTCTATTTTGAGGTTATGTCACAAACATCTATTTGCATCAAATTGTGTTTGCTTTTGAGTTATATCATGTTTTATCAGCCTGAAATTTCCTACAACTTAAAAAGAAAACATATCTTCACAATAGGAGAGCGCTGACGCTGACACGGGACAAGTGTAATCTAGAAATTTTTGAAGGAGAGAAAGGAGTATGACAATCAAGGATGCCATAAACGCGCCCTACAATATTCAACAATCCAACGCAATGTTTCCATCATATACAGGGTGACTTTGAAGTTGAGTCATTAATTTTCAGATAATGATTGTAGAAGGAAGATAAACCAAAATATGTGTGTAAAAATAAAAAAAAAAAATGTTTACCTTGTTTTATAAAGTATCCTCCCGACAAGTATTTCAGTGCGGACCTGTATTTGATCGTGAGGTCCCCTGTGAGGTCTTAAGTCACCTGATTCACGAGCCCGTTGTACTACATTAACAAAGGCACGAGGGTTTGGTTGCACTCGATTGGGAAACCGATCCGCATAAACATGTGCCATTTTTTATTTCGTTTGAGCCACGCAACAGACACTATTCACACGCGTTACCGATTGACAACTGTATGTATAACTGAACTGAATAAAATAATTGTAAAAACATCGTTCCAAATTCTTTCGCTTTTTTGTTTCCGATGCGATGAACCGATAAGGCGGATTATATCCGTTGTTGCCAAACACGAGCACATGATATTATTATTGAGACAGGGCGGTACTCAAACTTCCAAAGGGCTATAACTTTGTTACTTTAATTTTACCAGAAAAATGGTAAAGGAAAAAAACATTTCTTTTGATCAGATCTACTCACTGTTAAAATAAATGACTCAACTTCGAAGTCACCCTGTATAATTCTTTATCAAAATTGTATAAACAATACTCATTACCAGCTTTTTGACAAAAAGTGAAATTACAATTACTTCAATGACTTCATTACACAATTATACTTTTTTTTTACTTTCCTAATAATTTCTTATGAATAATATCTCATTATTATTAACATCTGATAGTTTTATGATTAAATGTAAGAGTAGCAAATGCTAAATTTTGCCATGTAAATTTTACCTTAGCTGCATTAAAATGTTGCTGTAAAGAAATAAATACATCTATTATTATTATTATATAAATCTTTCTATCATCCACTGGTGTAAGACCACATGATTGAGTAATGATATTTTTTTGTAGTTGAAGAAAATGTTCTTTTTATATCCAGACCCGCACTTCAAAAAGGCAAAACACAAGTGGAGGATTATAAATCAGAACTTACTGGCAGAGTATGCCTACGTTTTAGGAATAGGTGGGGTAGTGTATACTGTGACAGATGTCAAGGATTTACATGAATGGATGGTTCAACATTTCACTGAGCATCCATTGTTTGATAGAGTATCCGAGGATGACTTGGTAAGTAAATGGGTAACAGGTATAATAACAAATAGGTAAAGATGGGCAGAAACTGTCTCCAATCACACAACAATCTCACTGGAGCTTAGAATACTGGATTATGAATTTGTTGTTTGTTAGTGTTCATATGACCGATTTAGGAATGCACATTGTTGCTATATGGGTCAGACAGAATTGACCAGTACAGGCACAAAAATCCCTCAGAATTGCTACTTTTAAAATACCCTTCCAATCACAATTAATTATTAGGGTAGGTTTGACTCAAATATCGGGAGGATGCTTTCTGTCCATGAAAGTTGTGATATCCCCAAAACAAAAAAATCACGAGTAACAATCTCCCAAGATGACAACCCTCTCCCATCCTAACCGAATCGAAGAGGAAGCTTTTCCCGGTTCTGCTAACCTTAGGCAGTTGGTTCAAAAATCGTATTAACAAAATTATCTTGGGATCATACTAGCAACCGCGGTGTCCCGGCATTTAGGCTTCCGCCTGCGCGGTATAAAAAAAACCCGTTAAAGCACCTCAGGCGTCAAGACTGGGGGTCGTTTCTCCTGTGTATGATATTTTTTATCTTTCTTTCCAGAAAGAAGACCCCATTGTTGAACAACTGTATAGCAGCACAGAAGAAGGGCAGAAAGTCAGTAGGAATAATGGGGACAAATTTTTAGCTGTTTTTCGAAGGAAAGAGGATCCATTTTTTAAAAGTTAATATATATTTTATGATTATAATACTGTCTATTTATTAAAATCCCATATTAATACTCGTCAAGTGGTACAACTTGTCACACATTAAAAAGTGTCGTAGGTTGTCGATTAGGATATATTGTCTAATCATATTAGCAAATTTCCCTGAAATAATTGTAAAGCCTGGTTTTATTGACGCAAGTTGTTCAAGGTGGTATTTAAAACATGAACGAATAAAATGGATACAGCAATTTTTATGGGAAAACTTTTTATTTGACAACATAATGAGAAAACGTGTTTGCGCATGACTGTCGGGATGGTACTGAGCATCGCAGATAGGCGCTTCTTGTTGGGATAGGTAGTGTCAGTTTTCGCCTAGCGTCACGCGCCATATCTAGACATTTCTTACGACGGATCAGGACTTTGTGAATGAGATATAAAAACATTTATTCAATCTGATTCGGCTATATTTTCTTCAAGAAAGCATAAACATCCTTGTCGATTATGTGATGATCGCTGCCACTGGAGAATTGAGTGTCGAGCTTGAAAGTCTCGTGCAGACCGTCAGTGAGCATATTGTGAAGTGTACCAGCCAGTGTTGTGAAACTCGGTCTTGCTAAGAACTTCGCGATCTCCTCTTCTCTTTGCCTGTCCTTGTCTTCATCTAGTCGCTTGTCGAGAGTTCGCTCCGATTTCTTCCGGTGTGTTGATCTGTATTGTATGTAGTAGTCACCGGTTTTGGTCTTGGACGTGATTTTTGCTATCGACGAGAATTTCTTGTGAAACACTGTATCTCTAACGAAAAGAAAAATATGTTAGTATCGGGATTAGCCCTAAAGCTTTAGTGGGACTGTAAACTGGTCATTGCAAATTGCGTCACCACATGGCGGAAAACAGTGCATACTGTGCATGGAGGGAGATGAAACAGTTATTGTTATTTTCAAGCTATAATCAGGCAATGCTCAAGCTATGCTCAACCTATGCTCCAGACTATCCTCGGGCTATGCTCAAGCTATGGTGGAGCATTGGCCAAGCTATGCTCAAGTTATGGTCAAGCTATGCTCTTCCTATCTCAAGCTAAACTTGAGATATGTTCAAGCGATGCTCAATCTACGTTCAAACTGTGGTCAAGCTTTGTTTAAGCTATGGTCAAGATAAGCTCAAGCTATGCTCAAGCATTTTATAGGACTTTTTATACACCTCCCGTTCAATATAAAACATATATCATTATGACGAATATGAACACTTAGGAGCACATGTCGCTACTCTTTCAAATTAAACCAAGATCATCAAAATCGGTGCAGCCAATCAGATGTTATGTGACTTCTTCTGTAATAACATCCACCAACCCTTCCCCAACCTTAAACTAACCAAAATATGCAAACATGACATAAGCAATAAAGTTCGGACGATACGATAAGGCTATTTAATGAGCGTGTTAACGAATTTTTACAACATAATGGCGTTTGAATATTTTAAATGCAAATGACGGCCATTTAAAGAAGCTGAAGACAATTTCAAGTAATTTCTCTTCGCCACTTTTATTAGTAATCTTCTAGCATCGCATTTCCAACGGTTTGACATCCGATTGTGAATTACTTCAACGCGCATGTCAAAGGACTATTTTGAAACGGTTCAAAATTTGATTCTGCTGTACATTTTTTAAAATAAATTATACTAAATCGTGTAGGGGAGCTTACGAGATTATTCGTTCTAAAATATTCTTCAACAGGGTTCCATCAATCTGAAGGTCCTTAATATATGTACTCAATTCTATGTTTGCCACATCCGTTGCTATGGGCGAAGTGTTGCGTTTCATTTCTCGTGGAGGAAAGCAGCTGAAGAACTGTTTGGCTTCCAATATTACATCGTCTGATTGGTCCACTATGTTGATGCACACCGATAATGATATTGTATAATGCTGTAGTTGTGAATGGATGCTATCCTGGAACAAATATCGATGGTAACCTTCATGGGGTCTACGGTGAGGTTCAAATTTGGCCGACGTCGTAATCTGTACGAGAGAAAAGCGTGCAATGAGTCTAGGAAAATTTCTTATTTCAAACTGACTTGTGCTGACACCACAGTTTGATACTAAATCAAGGAAACTTCTGCGTAGGGCTAATCAGCTACGTGCAAACTTACAGGTTTTACAAATAATATCAGTTTTCATAGTTACAAATCACACTTCTCGCGGGTGATTTTTCTTAAATTTATGTTTAATCTGGTAGAGCTCCTATAAAATACAAGTTTATTTCAACTATTTTTGTTTCTCACGAAGTTACCTTTTCTAAAATACCTGTAACAAATTCGTGCATATTTTGGTTGTTCTTCTATCAATGGACCCTATCTCTGCTGGCTGGTCTTTGGACAAAAGATTCAATTTTTAACCAATATTTTGGAAAATAGCAGGTAGTCCAAGGAAGGAGCAGTGCCCAAAACATGGAAAATGGGTCCCAGTCGATTTGTCCAAAATCTTGTCTAAAAATTCAACATGATACGAGGGATGTCTTTTAAGTTTTGCATATGGAAATAAAACAACACGGTAGGTAGTCTTAAATAACTTTATCGTTTTTCGAAGTATTCTCCACGAAGATTAATACACATCTGCATGTGCTCGAACCAATTTTCGAAGCACTTATCCCACTCGTTTGCTGGCAGATCCAAAACGGCATTTTTGAATGCGTCAACTGCTGTTTACTAAAGAGTGAGGTTAAGATTCAGTACTGACGTTCGATCCGCGCCGCCTACTATGTTTCTATATGCAAAACTTAAAAGACATCCCTCGTATATTTCTTGCCTTCGCGAACAAAAGTGTCTTTGGGACCAAAGTAATCCTATGATTAGTTTTTGAGAAATAGGCGAATACGGTTTTACTGATTTGCAAAAAAGGTGAATGTGCCGGTTGTATCAGTATCGTTAAAACACCCTGTAGGAAAGTGTTGGCAGGTGTCATGTTGATTGTGACCATGATCCTGGCAAGGTAAGTTTCAAGGCAAGTTGATTTTGAAGGTGGAAGGAAAGAAAAAGTGCACCAAAGCAATCGTATGATTAGTTTCCGAGAAAAACGAGTTTACCTGATTTGCAAAAATGGTGAATGTGCCGGGTTTGTAGTGGTTACTTATACAGGAAACCTGATGAGTTCAGCTGAAAGATTTTCAAAATGGTAGCGCTTTCGTAGGCACCGGAAGAAAGTAAATACCAACTTGCTTATTCTAAATAGCATACCCTATACCGGGTGTTTCAAATTTGACTCTCATCATTTTGATCTCGGAAACGGGAAGAGACTTTTACCCAAATCGTTTTAATTTTCTTTCTTAACTTGATTTGAGTTGGGTTTTTAGAATACATAGCACATTAACGCTGCCAATTTTTCCCCTATAGCGTAATTAGGATTTCAGTATAACGCTTCGGTCTCTTGTGCTAAAATCGTCAACTTTATTATTTCTTATAGGCACCATTTGGATATTATATGTCTTACAAAATGTACAAGGAAATTTTCTTAAATATTGTACTTATAAAATTAATGGCGCATAATCGGTCAATTTATTATAATATATATAACTCTACGATTAAGATGTTCCATCGATAGCCTGACACTCCACCAAGCTTTCGTACGACACAGTTGATGCAAACGGCCTGCAAAGCCACACAAACAATTTTTATTCATACTTAAACAAAAAACAATCACAAAGAATATTCGAAAGTCCTCCGTGCCGAACTGTTCAACCAACTTTCATATTCGGGAACTCTAGCGCCTCCACTAGCGAACACTTCAGCGAAGTAGTGTCCACCTCGACTTTCAGATGTACCACTATTCCGTTGTATAACACCATCGAGTATCTTCTGCTTCTAACACCGCCTAACACGGGCAAATCGCAAGCAAGACCAATGGCCAGCGTGAACGTTGCGGAGGTGTCAGCTAGGAATCGCACTTTTCCGCTGAAAACAGTAAAGTTAGATTATAAGGATATAAGGCGTAGATCAACGCAAATAGTGAATCTGCTGAAGATTTTTGTATAGGCAATCGTGCATAGCGTAACGCCCCATATAGGTGGGAACTGGGGTGGCGGTGTCGACGCTAGGCAACCAGAATTACGCGTGCTTGCGTTTTGGACCATCGTGAGAATTCGACACGTCTGCAGATGAATCTGCTGCCATCTAGACTACTACTAGTTCACGACTTGATCTGGAAAACTCTAGAATGTTTCTAGACTCGTCGATAGGGACATAAATACCCGACCAAATAGCTTAAGTTAGTCACAGTCGATTAAACAGACACAATCGTGCAGTCGACAGCTAAGTAGAAATTGAAGCAAATGAATTTCTTCGTATAAAGACTGCTCTTTTAAGATATTGACTAAAATTCTCCTGTCAAATATGCTGAGGTCACTCCTTTTATCTGTAATCACTTGTCATCAGTGAAATCGACAAGTGGCGCACGATTTGTTGAACCAACCAATGGCCCCTGTTTAGGCACAGAGACAGGATCTTAGTATAATAGGATATTAGTATCGTACTATTATGTTATTGTATAGTCTACAGGGGGCAAGGTACTGCTAGTACCTGGCTTTCAGCTTGTCCGACCACGCTTTCATGACGAAGGGATCGTTGACTGCGATGCAAAAAATTTCGTCGATTCCTTGTTTCTTGAGAGTATCGGCGTTGTTCACGTAGCCTGGCAGATGGACGGTGTGGCACTCCGGGGTGAATGCTCCAGGTACACCTGCAAAAACGAACTGCACCTGGTCACAATTCATTCAGTGGCAGCTTATATTGAAGAGAAAGGAATAACGAAATTCAAAGAATAATAAGCTAGTTGACAATTTTTTTAAGTAGGTCTATTAGAGCAAAAAATTATAAACCTTTAAAATGCGTGGATTATTGAAATTATCAGCAACTTCATTAATCAGGAAGCTATGCTAACCGACCGGATGCTGGTTGCCGAATCACCACTTAACTGTCTCCCACCGTCGACGCCCAGAAAGGGTCTCGACTTTTACTTGCTTTTCGCTGCAAAAGTAAACAAAGACATACTATACTACAACTATTTAAAACTGTAATGACTCATACGCGTGATCAACACGTGATCAGAGCTCGATCCCGGCTTCCTTCCAGTACAGCCGTATAGCGTACGACATATGTCGTTTCTGTGGCTTTGCGGTGGTCAACAGCACAGACAGAGATGGAAATAATGGCTGATTGTTCTCCGCCGGTAGAACCAATGAAATCAAAGACGCGCCTCGACCGGCAGACTCATAGGCGTCGGCAACGCATTGGAACGTGTTTCGTTGAGCGATCGCATATTGTGTGTTTTTATAAGAATTGTTGTGTGATTGTTATTGTTGTGGTTTCTGTGGTTACTGTTTTGGTTATACTTAACCATGGAGAGTACAAATGGCACGAGTGGAAGTACTGAAAGCCAGGGAACAAGTAGACGGCTTCGTAAAGCACTGAAGAGGGACGCGAAAGAAATCGTGCTCAACGTGTTCAATTATCTGAACAGAACTATGTCGCAGGGAGATGCACTCGCGCGTTGTGAAAGTATGACAGGCGTTCCAGAGTGGACCATTCGCAGGGTGGTGCATGAAAAGAAGAAAACTGGAGCTACTACTGATCCAAAGTTTAATTTGAAGGGACGAAAGGCCGTTAAATTGGATGACGATAGCAAAATGGCGTTAAGGCGAACCGTATATTCATTCTTCTTTAGGAATGAGATACCAACCCTCAAGGCTGTACATGCAGCGATCAAGGAAAATGAAATATACCCCAAATGAGCGTCGAGGTAATGAGGAAATCCCTGCACGAAATTAATTTTCGTTACGAAACGCGTAATCGGAAGTCAGTATTGATAGAGAGACCTGAAATAGTCGCCTGGCGTCGAAAATACCTACGCGAAATGATTGAATATAGGCGACAAAGCAGAAAAATCTATTATTTGGACGAGACATGGGTAAATGCAGGTCACACATTTAAAAAAAACCTGGATAGACAGACACGTAGTGAGTAACCGACAAGCAAGCATTGAAGGTTTGTCAACAGGTCTTCGTGGACCCTCAGGGAAAGGTCAAAGATTGATCGTAACTCATATTGGTAGCGATAGTGGCTTTTTAGAAGAGTGTGACTTGATTTTCGTCTCTAAGAAAGGAGGTGATTACCATGACGAAATGAATGCCAGCTGCTTCTTGAGCTGGTTTCAAGGGGTGCTTCAGCGAGTTGAGCCCAACTCTGTGATCATCATGGATAATGCTTCCTACCATAGTCGTCGAGCCGATGGGATCTCGAAAAAGTGACATGCAGCAATGGTTGCGCGAAAAAGGAATCCCGTTTGACGATTCATGTGTGAAAGCGGAATTGTATGAAAAAATTAAACAGCACAAACCTGCGAACATTAGTTACGTGACTGATGAGATGGCCCGTCAATGTGGTGTCACTGTGCTGCGGTTACCGCCCTACCACTGTGAACTGAATCCAATAGAGCTCATCTGGGCTCAAGTGACGAGTTATATTGCGCGCCATAACACAACCTTCAAATTACCAGACGTTAAGGTTTTACTTGAGACTTCCATACAGCTAGTAACGCCCGAAGCTTGGCAGAATGCTATCCGTCATGTTGTGAAGGAAGAAACAAAAATGTGGCAGCTTGACCACCACATCGACACCATCATAGAGCCAGTTATAGTCAATTTCAACGAGGAAAGCGATAGCGACAGTTTATTACTGTCAGATGTAAGTGGAAGCGACGATGAATAAAGGTAATTCCCAAATTTTTGACTTACAATATGTTTCAAACCACTCTTTATTAAGCATGTGACAAATCTAGTTCACGCATGTTAAACATTCATACCCCGCCTATGACCAGCCGACTACTGGTAGTTAAGTGATGTTCACGTGAACATCGATGAGTCATTACAGTTTTAGATAGTTATAGTATAGACGTAAACAACTTGAAAAACAACCATAGATGCGTCGCTGCTTTTGAACGGATCGATAACAATTAATACTGTGACAAATAGCGCCATCTGTTGGGCGAGTCTCCTACTCGTCAGAGCGGAATGGCTGATCTCTGCTTTTACGCGAACCACGACCGCACAAGCCGCTTGGCGGCGTCTTTTTGGATCGTGACAGTGGATCGCCTTCTTGATCGACGCGAAGTGATCTCCAATATTCTAGTTGTCGCTTTGTGGTACACCCGGCCTTTCTCGAAGCAGCAATTGGGACTATATATAACTCGGCCGCCGGGAGATGGAGGCAGTGTACTGAATACGGTAGAGTAGCAGAGCGGAGTGGAGTATAGTGCAGTCAATGGCGACATAAGAATCAGTCAGACAAATAGTGGTGTACATAAATGTTCTATCAAGTCAAATAAATTAGTGCATTTCTTTTTGTGGAATCCAGTGTTTTAATCCACGCCCAAAAGAACCCAGAAAAACGCTACAATACTATATTTTTTCAAACCTAAAGGACCGTAAAACCTCAGTTCTAAAACAGAGAGAGAATAGAAAGGTTTTTGTTTGACATGCATACGTTTTGTTATCCCCTGATTTCAAATTTAGGCCGGATCAACCTATCTCGTTTGTACTTACCTACAATAACAACTCTTTTTCCTAAAACTACCCTGTTGAGGAAAACCTTCTCGTCAGGACTTAACTCGTACATAGGGATATCCGGAAGGTTACTACCTATCCGTATCATATCCTGCATCGTCTCCATCAATTCAGCTGCATCCATTATCTGATTCATCTTGGAGGGTGGTTCAACAATCAATTCAGAGATTCGTGTTGATTTGATCGAGCTAGATGCGATTTCTTCCAATACGCCAGGGAAATGTCAACGCATTGTCATTTAGGGTCGATTTATAAACTCAACGCACCACTAACGTACCGTAACGCAAAACTTGAATCGCTAAACTGTTTATAAACAGGGATTACGCGACGTTCGTCTGCAACGCTGACGCTAGACTTTAAAGCATCCCACAAACCGGCGCGAAATATTCGCTTTGGCTGCGAAAATTTCGCGGCGATGAATTCGCGATCAGATTAAAACGCGGCGGTTTACGGACAGGCTCAGACTTGTGCGAAGCGAATGCGATTGTTCCAGCGTTTTTATCGCGGCGTATTTCAGTTCGCCTTTGACCGCGTTTCTGACGCCGTTCTTCAAAAATTCGCAATGGCAAAAACGGAATAATTATTGATAGAAATAGTGAAAAAGTATCCTTGTTTGTATGATTTGTCGAACGATGAATACAGGAATGTGAGAAAGAAAGACAAGATTTGGATGGAAATAAGAAAAGAATTAAATACAAATGGTATGTACCTAATATTTTTTATTAACTTGTTAAATAATTTACAGTCTACACAAATGTGAAAACGAACATTCTATATATTGGGCATAGGCACATCAGAATTAAAATAATTTACGAATTTGTCACGAGTAGAAAATGCTAGCCTTGCTGCCCGCCGAGGATCATTTGCTATATCAGTAAAAGCACGGGTTCTGGGGGATCTAAGAATTGAAAATATTTGTCATCGCCACTTTTACTTCGTAAAAACTTGTGTAAAACACATGCCGTACGTACAATTCTACTTTCTACTTTAGTTTCTAATGGCCTGTAAAATATTCGCCATTTTTGAGACAAAATACCAAACGCATTTTCCACGACCCTTCTAGCTCGACAAAGTCTTACATTGTATTTCTCTTTTCTGACCTCTGTTAAAGTCTGCTTATAAGGAAATGGTCTCATAAGGTATGGTTTTAAAGCAAATACTTCTTCACCAATTAAGACGTACGAGCAGATTTCATTTTGCCCAGGGAGAAATCTAGGTGCAGGGACACTCATTAAATTTTGTTCAAATCGTTTTCCCATGTTTGAGGTTTCGAAAATACCCCCATCACTATTTTTTCCGAAACCACCAATATCAACACATATAAATTTATAGTCCGGGCCAACAATGGCCATAAGTACTATTGAATATTTATGTAAATAGCACCAGTAATTGGAGCCACTGTTGTTAGGTCTCTTGATTGTTACATGTTTACCGTCCACGCTGCCAATGCAATTGGGAAATCCCCATCTATTTTCAAATTCTTCAGCACATTTTTTCCATATATTCTCTGTTGGTTCTGGTAAATATATATGCTCCATATGTCTGCATATCGCTTCACAGACTTCAGTTACGATTGCACTCACTGTTGTAAAGCCAACTCGAAAGCTATGCCCAATGGTATAGAAGTTGTCACCAGTGGCAAGGAATCTATAAAAAAAATCGTTTTTAGGTGATGAAGTAAAAAAAAGGTGGAAGAATATCAGAGACACATTTGCAAAATATATAAAATCTACCAAACCAAAGACCGGCCAAGCAGTGGGCAACATAAAGAAATGGCAGTGGGCTGACTACATGGAATTTTTCCGTCCTTTTTTGGCATTTGCCAAAAAGTCGTCTAATGTGAAAGATATTGACGTCATACATTATGAGACGATAATTTGTGTCAGATTTTCGTATTTCATCTTTCACCAAGTTCAATATTTCATCGAAACACTCTGGAGTCATTCTAAAATATACGTAAAAGCGCTGTTCATCCAGCCGAAGTTGTGGCATCAAGGTATGGTATTCCCCAAATTTATTTCGTTCCAAGTTAATATCATGTACCCACTTCCTTCGTTTCCTAAACAAAATTGAAAATATTTGTTTTATGTACTTCGTTAAACTTAATACATACCCAACTATCAAATGGCGTTAAATAAACATAACTTACCGTGCATTTTGTTCCTCTTCTAAAGCAAGAAATAGAAGTGCCTCCTCTTCTTCTGAAGACGAGCTCATTGCAAAAGGCAAAAATAAAATGTACGCAACCTGTCGAAACCTTCACGTTCGCGGAGCGAATAAGACGCTTTGGCATGAATAAACAGGCGAAACAGATTGCGAATTTCGCTCTGAATTTCGTTGCGAATACTTCGCCGCGATTATTTCGCGCCGGTTTGTGGGATGCTTAACTTTCTGCCGTTATCGCACAGGCACAACTTGCAATAGAATTCGGTTTTTCTGGTGCCTTGACATGACTGCCATGTTATATATCGAACTATGTAAATAAGTAATTTGAACTTACAGAAAGAACGATCTTATCAGGTGTTAATCTCCTCCGATGTAAAAAGAGTGCATTGTAGTTCATAATATAACACGTGTAGTTATAATTCAATATCGCCGGTTCGTTATAGGACCTCACACTAATCATGATCGTTTGAGTTTCTTTAGGCTTCAAAAAGCCAAACGTTGGAGTCGCTGTTATTTTTATCACTTCGTAGATGGTTTGACTGGAAGAAAATACTGGTGATATACATATTATTCGTTTAGTACTTTGGAACGAGCAAGCATAGAATGCATTTGCTGTTGCCTCAAAGTGGATAGCTGTTTCGTGATTCTTGGTTACTCATCAGCAAGGTCTAGGCTTGATCTCTCGACTCTGGGACAACAAACAAAAGCATCGTAACAATCTTCTATCCAGAAGGTACGGTTTATCAAAAGTTATTAATTGGAACTGTTAAAGATCTCAGTTCACGTTTAGTCCATAACGTGACCGCTAGATGGCTGACGATTCTGGCTGTAAAGTAGATGTGCAAGTAGACCAACGCTCAACGCTCATCTCTCATGGTTCAAAGCAGAGATACGTATACTCGTTGGGTTGTCCGTCTTTGTTATTCAAGTTTTAAGGGCAAATATATCGAGATGTACCTACGAAATGTATCTAGGCTATTATTTACAATTGGCAAAATGGAGTTTCAGATGTCAGGCGTCCGCTTTGGAAGAAGGGTGTCAGTTTCAAGCCACTTTATATTAATAATAATAATAATAATAATATTTATTCACTCAATGTACAAAGATAACAAAAAATATGAGTAAATAAATATAAAATCAAAACAGGCCCAATAGAAGGCATCGCCTGTACATGGACCAATAAATTTAAGTTGAAACTGTAGAATGCAAATGACAAAAAAGGACAAAAATTAGCTACAGTAGATTATGTATTTAGTTGATGTTCGTATTTATGAGTTTATGAATTTCAGTCCTAGATATAGAATGTAGCCACTTTTTTAAATTTCTTTTGAAACAATTTCCGAAACGTAAATCTTTTAAGTCTTTAGGTATAATTTCATAAAATTTAGGCGCTAAATAGAGATATGATCGCTGCATTATAGATTTATGCGGTTGAGGAACTACTGTGCCACGAATTTTGTACCTGGTATAATGATTATGTTTAATTTTTTCGTCGGTGTTTACAAATTTATGGTAGTGTGTAAGAAATAAAGCTGTCTTATATCATACATTCGAACATCTGCGTATAATTTTTCAGTGGGATAAAGTTTCGGTTTTTTAAATATCATTTTTAGAATACTTTTTTGAAAAACATCTAAATTATAGATATGTGAGGAACATGCAGCTCCCCATGCTAATATACCATATGTGAGATGAGGCTCAATCAGTGCGTGGTATAATGTTCGAAGATATTTTTCTGTCAATATATTCCCAAGGTATTTAATTTTGTAGGATACAAATCTAACTTTCTTTAAAATATAATTGACATGGATGTCCCATCGTAAGTGAGGATCCAAGACCACTCCAAGGTATTTTATGTTGGGCACTCTATTAATTTGCATTTTTTGATCATTAATATTGAAGGAGAAATTTGTGTAATTTGGCAGATGTCTAGCATAAGATCCAAATGGTGAAAAATGTGTTTTAGAGTAGTTAATGCTTAATTTTCAACTGTTAAACCACCGAATAATTTTGATAAAATCATTTTCAATTACATTTTTCAGATCAGACCAGTCAGTGCCTTCATATAATATTGCAGTATCGTCTGCAAAACTAGTTATTTTGCCAAGACAATTAATTTGGAAAATATCATTTAAATATACCTGTATATTGAATAACAGCGGACCTAAGTCAGTTCCTTGTGGGACACCACACTTAATATACATTTCTTTACTAAATGATCCTGATATCTGCACAGATTGTGGGCGATTTGACAAATAACTTTCGATCAGTGAGTACGCGTTTCCTCTGAAACCAATTCTCTCCGATGCTTCTAATAATAATTTGTGATTAACTGTGTCGAAAGCTTTCTTTAAATCAACAAAAATGCAGATTGAAGGGATTCTGTTATCAATATTTTGATGTATTTGATTTACAATTTTAGTTATTGCGTCCGATGTAGCCTTCCCTTCTGTAAATCCATATTGATTTTCACTTAAAATTTTGAATTTTGTGAGGTATCGAATCATTCTAGTAGATAAAACTTTTTCAAAAACCTTTGCTACACTGGATATTATTGATATTGGTCTATAGTTGTTAACATCTGTTTTTGTTCCTGATTTATGTATCGGTATTATATTACCTTTTTTAAAATTGAGGGATATATGCCAGATTCAAAGCATTTGTCGATTAGGTAAGTGAGTGGTTCTGTTATGTCCTCGGCTATAATTTTCAAATGCTCGCTTTTAATACCATCGAACCCAGGACTTTTCCGATTTTTTAAGGACATAACAGTGGTGTATACTTCACATTGCTCGACTTTATCCAAAATAAATGAGTTCAAAGTTCTTTTTGGAGGCTGAGTATTTTGTACATTTGCTTGTATATTACTTGCTAAATTTTCGCCTATGTCAGTAAAGAATTGTACAAAGTCATCGCATATCTGTTGAGTATTTTTTAATACTGTTCCCGATGTTGTATTTAACTTAGTGACACACTCTTTAACTTTTGTTTTCCCACTTACTCTGGAAAATCAAACTGGTAAATGATGTCTTTGCTGCAATTTTTGATGAAAATCATTCTCGTTTGTACACTCCATGTCAGCATAGGATTAATTCTGATGTAATTTTGTGAGAGCAATACGGGTAGGTTGTAGTAAGCGGAAGTGGTTTCTGGGCCACGTTCTATGAAGGGTCGCTTTATTTTAGTGTTCTTACCAACACCGATTACTACGAGTGACCGTTGTTCTTCTTCAAGAATCAAAGGGACTTTGACCTGAAACAACAATTTATCTTTATTATTAACAAGAATAAATTTACGTATTATAGATAAATATGCTCTATTGTCTGAAGAATACAATCATTCTTAATGACAAAGCTAACTTAAAAAGTAAACAAAATCATATGTGTGGATCTCAAGAAAAAATGGCACAACATAATGAGTGAAAAGATCTATGCCTGTAGCCCCTTTTGCACTCACCGTATGCGCCACGGCTCGTATCGGATGAAACTTGAACAACAGCGGTACGCTACTATAAGGCTCAATCGCTCCACAAGGATTGAGCATCTTCAAGACCGGAAATCCTTCCTTTTCACACATTTCATCAACGTACGTTAGATTTGCTTTATATCTGGTACTCTCCTTGGTGTTATTATACAGCCAAAATGTCTGAACAGGAGGATGCTTCCTGCCTATATAAATGGGAACCATACGGAACGTGTTGTTAGCATGGCTGTAAAATGATACTTTTGGACCATCTTCCGGTAAAACTTTCATGTTGAAGAAGAATTCGATGCGTCTGTTGTCTCCTATGTCCAAGGAATACGCCAGTTTGTTGTCGCCTATCACTGTGTACTTGGCTGTAACGATCAAGTACCGGCGAGTATTACCCTGTAAGATATGGTGCTGTTGAACATTCGTACTAGAGTAAATTGTTTTCAATGGCTTGATTAGGTCTTCAAATGACCTTGCAGGGAACAGTCAAGGTCATGTTTATGGGCATATTCGGAGAAACTCCTATTTTCAATTCCGATGTAAAAAATGAGAAGTTCTATTAAACATTTACTTGGCCTTGAAATGACCTTAAGTGTAGTGGTCAAGGTTACCACAAGTTTTTTTAGGATTTATAGTTTCCGACATATTCAGGCGGGGAGATTAAAATGGGACACCCTGTATCTGCTCTCGAGGAATTAACATCTTATTCTGGGGCACACAGTGTAGTTTTTTCACTTGCATGAGTCGTCCAAAATATACTAAGTGACATATAAATCCGAACACCCAGTTTAAATGGTTTTATTTTAATAAAATTTTGTATAAGTACTTAATGAAGCATAATAAGTAAATGATAAAAATTTCAAAATGATTGCACTGCTTTAAAGCCCTTTGACCTTTAATAATGTGTGGATGCACCCTGATGTGCTACGCATTCTCCAACGCGCCTAGGGATGCTTCTGATCAGGTGGTCAATGTCCTCCTGTGGTATCTCATTCCAGGCAACCACTAACTCCTCTCGAAGTGCTTCTAGAGTCTGAGGAGGACGTTGCAAATTGAGCAATCTCCTACCGATCATATCCCACACGTGCTCAATTGGGGATAAGTCGGGAGATCTTGGTGGCCATGGTAACAATGTGACATCATTATGTTGAAAGAAGTCTATTGTGACTCTTGCAACATGTGGTCGGGCATTATCTTGTTGGAAAGTTGGATCTGCCAGGGTGTCAAGATAGGGTAAAAGATGGGGTTCTAGAACTTCGTGGATATAAAGCTACGCGTTCATGTTACCTCTGATGAAGATTAAAGGTGACCTGGAACCATAAGCTATAGCACCCCAAACCATAACTCCAACAGTGTGATGAACATGTCTTTCAACAAAAAACTGTGGATTCCTCCTTTCACCACGTCGTCTTCTAACCCTGGCACGACCATCGTGCATGCCTAAACAAAATCGAGACTCGTCACTAAAGACAATACTGCTCCATTCCTGATCCCAGAATGACCGTTGTCTGCACCACTCAAGGCGATTACGTCGGTGTTCTCGAGTTAAAGGGAGGACCCAGTGTGGCCGGTATGAAAACAAGCCAAAACTTCTCATTCGTCGGTAAACACTTCGCATGCCAATAGGTCTTCCGTGTTCTGCAAACCATTCATTTGCAATGGACCTGGTAGTGGAGAAACGGTCCCTTAAGGCCAATAATCTTAGGCGGCGATCTTCACAGTCTGTTGTTCTACGGCGGCGTCCAGCGCCCCTTGCTCTTTGCGTACGGCCTTCTCGAAGCCATGCCTGACAACACCTAACCACAGTGTCTACACTTCTTTGCCCTCTAACTGCAATTGCCCGAAAAGAAAGTCCAGCTTCCCGAAGTCCCACTATACGGCTCCTATCAAAGTCACTAAGTTGACGAAATCGTACAGGTCTCCGTACTCTAGGCATCGTAACCGATCGTAAAGGATGTCAAAAACCAAAATCCGCCAACGTTGATTCTTTACTGCGGCTGAAATATTTATTTTTAGAGCGTTAGTGAATTAAAAAAAAGCAGTATAAAAACCGGAATGTCCAACTGATAAGGCTGAAAATTTTTTCACTTATTTACAGTAAGATAAATACATTCACCAACTTTTATTAAAATAAAACTATTTAAACTGGGTGTTCGGATTTATATGTCACTTAGTATAGTACTTCAATTAGAACATTCAAATGGAGCACTATTTTTCTTTCCATAAATTTAATCGGATATCAATATGTCAACAAAGTACTAATTTTTAGCATAGCTGTGACGTTATGTTTAAAAGTTTGGTAGGTCATGCTGCTGTCAGATTCTGTTTACAACAGGTATGACGTCAGATAACATTAATAGAGGTAAACATGGTGGACAGCGTTAATATTTTTAAATTGTTTTACGGTCTTCAAGGTCTGAAAAAATATACTATTATTATTATTAAGAGGACAAATATCAACTATTTAAGACCAACTAAAAATTGAAAAACCGGGCCTAAGGAAATTTGAAATGGAAATGATTTTTTTCGATGGGTAACTCTGTGATATTAATGTCCATTTTCTTTTTCATCTAAACATTCTTTGGACAGGTATAAATATTCCACCGGATATCTCTTACGTATATAATTGTTTCCTGTAGCTTCATGGTCAACATTTCTCTGTGCGGACAGTCATAATCCAATTTGGTTTTGTTGATCGAAGTCTGTACTTGCTTTTGCACGCAATCGCACAGTTTTATTCTTTTGAGACTGACATCCACGTCAAATTGTGTCACATTAGCAATCAGAAGTACCACACTGAATACGTTCTCCCCAACTTCGCAATCAGGCAAGTGTACATCTAGAACCTTGGTTTCATTTTCTTTTATGCTTTTCAGTTCTTCGTTTAATCTACGACAAGCACTCAAAGCTTAGTACTAAGGGACATGGGCGTCCGCAGGAGTTTTTCTCAGAGGGTGGATTATCATCAGGAGATAATTTTGAAAACAAATCTTTATCTGACAGTCAATTTCCACAAATTTTATAGTAAAAAAAGTTCTGTGTGTTGAGAACACTGGCCTTGAGAACAACAATATTTGAAGTGCGAATTTGGTAACAATAAATACAACAATTCAAGTGACTTTTGAGTATCTCTACAAGATTTTTGAATATCATACATTCTTTACAATATGTCGTAAATTATTATATGTTTTTACTGCATCAGTGACAGGGTTATTTAATCCTATATTAGTTGTATTAGGAATCTGGTACAAATTATTATGTGATTTTGCTTCATAGTAATGCATATCATCTGAGATCAGAATTTTTGTATTACATATTTGTTGATTATTAAAAATTTTGTTTAATAACATTCAATTCTGTGTATACAGGGTGGCGCCTCGAAAACGAAACAGACGCACAAGTTTGGCAAAAAATCACGTTAACGCGTGCAGCCCCCTGGGAGAGGGTGTTACCAACCCTAAAATCTTAAATGGAAATGGGGCTCGAGTGATACCTTATTTTAAAGGTCTTTCAATTCCCTTTATAGTGATATAAAATACATGAGCTTCAGTTCAGTAGTTTTGAAGATTTATTGATTTAAAGCTTAAAGTAGACTTTAATAGGTACATCAAATAAGTTTGTACCACTTTCAGAAGAAATTTGACTAAAAGAATTTACTTAATAAGTAAATACATTTCTTCACTACGCCCATGGTTTGTTTGTCATTTTGTTGTTGAAAATAGCTATTGGAGCGTTTGTTTGTGGCAAAACAGTTATTTGTTGAAGAAAGATAAGGAAATATCTCGTACTTATTTTAAATAGGAATTTAGTACATGGTTTGCGATTGATTTGACCTAACTTTGTTGCTAAAATAAGTTGTAACGCTTTATTACATAAATTAACCATGGTATATTCCACAGAAGGAAGACTTGAAATTATCGAAATATTTTTCGGAAATAATCAGTGCGCTAATAGAACAGTAAAAATATTTAATAATTTTATTATTCTGTAGTAAAATTATATATTTTGATGTATCTATGTTGAGCTTCAGCTTATTCAAATACAGCCATTTACAGTGAAGAGCAAGATCTAAATTAACTTCAGCACGCAGAGCCTGCTCATGATTTCCTATGTAGAGAAGAACTGTGTCGTCAGCAAAAGTAAAATACCTTGTACGAAGATTAGCACTCTTTAGATTTAAGACATATATATAGCGGGTATAATGGTTTGTTTCTACAAATCTGACCTACCTCGTTATTCTCAACGTTCTCCAAAAATAATCTTTGCCAAACAAATGTCCGAAAGTGTAATCGAGGATGTCAATGACCTGCAGCAGGAATAGAGGAATATCATATTGCAGCTTCGTAAAAGGCCTTAAGACGCAGTGGAGGCATCCTGGCTCGCCAAGCAACTGGTGGTGAATTCTCAGGTCATCAAAAAAAAAACATATTGTCATTGTAACGTTGTCCAATAGGGACGCAGGAAAGTGAACGTCAATTTGACATAGACGTCATCTTTGTTTTCCGTCACCGACATGTCATTTTGTTAGTTGAATGTTTACCATTGATCGCTATGGAGTCGTATTCGATTGAAGACCGCATTAAAGTTATTCAAGAGCACTACAAAAATGGTGCAAAAGTAAAAAACACGTTTCGCGTGCTTCGTGAACATTTCGGTCGCAACAACCGCCCAAACGAAGCAACCATCGGTCGTCTGGTGCGTAAATTCGAGGCAACAGGTTCTGTGGCAAATCTGCCAGGCTCTGGCCGGCCAAGGAGCGTTCGCACACCGGAAAATATTGCTGTTGTGAAGGAGAGTGTGAGAGACGATCCGAAACAATCGACAACGCGTCGATCCCAAGAATTGGGCATTTCGAGAACCAGTTTGCTCCGCATTCTCCACAAGGATTTGAATGTACACGCCTACAAGATCCAATTGATGCAAGAGCTGCGTCGGGCCGACCATTTTTCGCGCCGAACGTTCTCAGATTGGCTCCTTGAACACCGCCAAATTGATGCCAATTTTTCATCAAAAATCGTGTTCAGCGACGAAGCGCATTTCACTTTGAATGGGATGGTAAAGAAGCAAAACTGCCGCATCTGGGCGAACGAAAATCCCCGTGAGTATCAAGAGCAGCCGATGCATCCTCAAAAAGTGACTTTATGGTGTGCATTGTGGTCAAAAGGCATCATCGGATCTTACTTTTTCGAAAATGCGGCCGGGGACGCCGTTACCGTCAATTCTGAGCGATAACACGTGATGATAGAGGACTATTTTTTGCCGCAACTTGAAGGAATGGATATGGACGATGTTTATTTCCAACAAGACGGTGCAACATGCCACACAACCAACGTCAATATCCATCGATTGCAGTCCTTCTTCGGTGATCGCGTGATTTCGCGCAGAGGAAATGTGCCATGGCCACCAAGATCGTGCGATTTGACTCCCTTGGACTTCTTTTTATGGGGATATTTGAAAAGCAAAGTCTACGTCAACAAACCAGCCACCCTCCAAGAACTCAAAAACAACATCATTGCCGAGATGAATGCCATAGAACCGACCATGTTGCAAAATGTCATTGAAAATTTCGACCATCGCGTGGACGTCTGTAAATCCAGTCGTGGTGAACATTTGAGCGATATTATTTTTCATACATAAATGGTATAAATGAACCTTCAAAATAAAGTACCCAACTTGATTTGAATATCAATCTTTCTTGTTTTAATATGCGTTTACTTTCCTGCGTTCGTTTTGGACAACCCCATAGTTATGTACTTTGAAAAAGGCTAGCGAGGCGACCGAACCGTCAATAAACGTTTACTTCTACATCTATGATTTCATTTGGTGGCTATTAGAACATGGAGATTGATGCATTGCAGCTACAAATACCTGGAGTTTCGGATAGATGCACTTGTATCTAAACGTGAACACTGCTCTACCTCCCCCTAAATCCTCCTGCTCCTTAATGTCATAGGATACGCTTACGACGTTCTGCCCCGGTGTTCCGATCCGAGGCGAACTAACCACCACCTTGACCATTCCCTTTACCTCCACTTTACCATTACTCGGTTCCAATGAATAGGTATCGCTTGTGTTCGAGTGATGGTGGCAGCTCAGTTTGTACTGAACAGAACACTGGCCGAAGTTGAACAGGTGGAATTCGGTCTTTATTTCTGAGGCAAATCGGAGATCACCAAAGTCGTAACTGTTAGGAACTGCCTATGAATAAAAATGAAACAATGGTTTTTGGATATTAAATGACGTGTTCAGTACGGCAAACCATGACACTCTTTTCCGGCCTGTCCGGTAATCTCTTATTAATACGTACGTATTAAAAACTTACGCACAAGTCAACAGGAGCACAATCAGTGTAGACGACGAACTCGTGTGGATACACGATACCAACATGCTGCTGAACTTTTTCTATGACTTGCAAATTGAATGTAGCCGTGCTGTTTTTCTTGTTGTACAGGTCTGCCTTGCACTTGAATGTTATCATGACTTGGTCATTTGGATTGAGTTCACCAGATTCTATATCGGCCGTAAGGCATGGGTGGGAGGCTAGCTGATAACTGGAAAATAAGGCGATGACGTTTGGTATATATTTATATATTGATATTAAACTGAAGTTGTATCAAAAATTGCCAAAAAAAAAACAGAGAGTAAAGATCATGCAACTTTCAGCCAGTCGTTTTTCTGATAATTCAATAAAATATACTAAGTGACATATAAATCCGAACACCCAGTTTAAATGGTTTTATTTTAATAAAAGTTGGTGGTGAATGTATTTATCTTACTGTAAATAACAAGTGAAAAAGTTTTCAGCCTTATCAGTTGGACATTCCGGTTTTTATACTGCTTTTTTTTAATTCACTAACGCTCTAAAAATGAATATTTCAGCCGCAGTAAAGAATCAACGTTGGCGGATTTTGGTTCTTGACATCCTTTACGATCGGTTACAATGCCTAGAGTACGGAGACCTGTACGATTTCGTCAACTTAGTGAGTTTGATAGGGGCCGTATACTGGGACTTCGGGAAGCTGGACTTTCTTTTCGGGCAATTGCAGTTAGAGTGCAAAGAAGTGTAGACACTGTGGTTAGGTGTTGTCAGGCATGGCTTCGAGAAGGCCGTACGCAAAGAGCAAGGGGCACTGGACGCCGCCGTAGAACAACAGACCGTGAAGATTGCCGCCTAAGGTTATTGGCCTTAAGGGACCGTTTCTCCACTACCAGGTCCATTGCAAATGAATGGTTTGCAGAACACGGAAGACCTATTGGCATGCGAAGTGTTTACCGACGAATGAGAAGTTTTGGCTTGTTTTCATACCGGCCACACTGGGTCCTCCCTTTAACTCGAGAACACCGACGTAATCGCCTTGAGTGGTGCAGACAACGGTCACTCTGGGATCAGGAATGGAACAGTATTGTCTTTAGGGACGAGTCTCGATTTTGTTTAGGCATGCACGATGGTCGTGCCAGGATTAGAAGGCGACGTGGTGAAAGGAGGAATCCACAGTTTTTTGTTGAAAGACATGTTCATCACACTGTTGGAGTTATGGTTTGGGGTGCTATAGCTTATGGTTCCAGGTCACCTTAGTCTTCATCAGAGGTAACATGAACGCGCAGTGTTATATACACGAAGTTCTAGAACCCCATCTTTTACCCTATCTTGACACCCTGGCAGATCCAACTTGATTAACACTATGCCCCAAAGAGTTTCAGCCGTAATAAAAAATAAAGGTGATGTTACCCAATGGTTAATCTTTCAATTGTTGCTTTGTTAACTTCGCGCATTTATTCGCACATTGCTTATTTGTTCAGATGTTCTATTAGTTATAGGTCTAAGTGATTTCAAATATGTATTTTTTACGACTAGAGTGTATCTAAAATGTTTTTGAGAAAATAAATTGTTTTAGAAGTAAATAGTTTCGTCATGTTTAGTTTCTTCTTGAAGTGGGCCAACTGAAGTGGCAAGGGGCTCGTATTTACTTGATATAAAAACAGGAGAGGTTTCTCAGTGGAGCTTGTAGAGTTACAGTAGTTCCAGGAGGTGAAGTGTCAAAGCGGATGAAGTCACTATCACCAACTCTCACTATCGGTAAACCTACTGTCACCATAAACTTCAATGCTCTTCTTTTACGCGTATCTCCATTCAATTCTAGCTCCCAGGTCTCCGCGCATACTCCTTGGCAACACTCATCCGCAGTGTACTGTGCCGTGACAATTGTGAAGTCTTTCACAACTCCTAACGCAGGTTTCACTATTATTTTGCTGAAAAATTCATAGATTGAGTACTACTTTTCTGGAAACGCCTAGTACCGGGTACCAGGTTAAATTCGATAACCGAGTACTTGAAGAACTGATGTATTATTACAGATATTAGAATTAGAAAAACGTGCTAACAGATACAGGGTGTCGCTTTTTCCGACCATAAAAAAAATAAATTTGTTGATGCTTTTTTAAAAACTAACCGGCATATAATTTAAAATTATTGCCTGAAAAATGACAATGGAAAAGCTTCATTAGAGTTTCAATATTTCTTGAAATAAAGTCAGAAAAAAATAAAAATGTTTCGGTCAAATTTAAGTTTTTTCCAAATATCTCAGTAGAGACATAAAATTTTTGTAAGTTTCCCAACGGCACGTAAGAACGCAGCTTTTTTCAGGATTAGCTGTATATGCCACAGGTATTGAGTGCCCCAAGCATAATATCCTTATCTTGGATACTTCATAGAACCGGGAAGTGTCTGCATAAATTTCTGTAACATTCTGTACATAGACGTATTTTATATATTTTTATCATTTACCTGTCTTCGGGAGCTACCAAACGAAACATTGCTGACATATGACCACCGTTTTGAATTTTGAAATTTTGATGGGATACCGACCCCGGTAAACACGGTGGAAATTTGATCATATCTGGAATGATTTCAACGCGACATATTGGATATTCTCCTTCAGGGTATGAATTACCTACGAATAAAACAGATATTCTAAATTGAGACAAAATATTTGAGCGAGCTCATTGACAGCAATCTGATTTTTCTGATAAGTATGTTAACACAAGTTTAGAACTCAAGCATCACAGAGAAAAATACTCGTAGTACTGAATAAACAAGTTATTTGCCCTTTGAAGAAGTTATCCAAAACAAGAGCGTTGTTCTGCTCTGTGTTAAAAATGGATAAAGGATGAATCAGACCTTTGATTTACAAATATTGCCGATACAAGCATCAGCCGCAGAAAATTATTTTTATCCTGCTGTACTGCTGTGAATCTCATTTTGATGTAAGTATTTAGTTAACATAACAGGCTTTCAAATAATCTACTGTTTGTCTGGTCGAATATATATACTAAGTTACATATAAATCCGAACACCCAGTTTAAATGGTTTTATTTTAATAAAATTTTGTACAAGTACTTAATGAAGCATAATAAGTAAATAATAAAAATTTCAAAATGATTGCACTATTTTAAAGCCCTTTGACCTTTAATAATGTGTGGATGCACCCTGATGTGCTACGCATTCTCCAACGCGCCTAGGCATGCTTCTGATCAGGTGGTCAATGTCCTCCTGTGGTATCTCATTCCAGGCAACCACCAACTCCTCTCGAAGTGCTTCTAGAGTCTGAGGAGTACGTTGCAAATTGAGCAATCTCCTACCCATCATATCCCACACGTGCTCAATTGGGGATAAGTCGGGAGATCTTGGTGGCCATGGTAACAATGTGACATCATTATGTTGAAAGAAGTCTATTGTGACTCTTGCAACATGTGGTCGGGCATTATCTTGTTGGAAAGTTGGATCTGCCAGGGTGTCAAGATAGGGTAAAAGATGGGGTTCTAGAACTTCGTGGATATAACGCTGCGCGTTCATGTTAAATCTGATGAAGATTAAAGGTGACCTGGAACCATAAGCTATAGCATCCCAAACCATAACTCCAACAGTGATGAACATGTCATTCAACAAAAAACTGTGGATTCCTCCTTTCACCACGTCGCCTTCTAACCCTGGCACGACCATCGTGCATGCCTAAGCAAAATCGAGACTCGTCACTAGAGACAATACTGTTCCATTCCTGATCCCAGAGTGAACGTTGTCTGCACCACTCAAGGCGATTACGTCGGTGTTCTCGAGTTAAAGGGAGGACCCAGTGTGGCCGGTATGAAAACAAGCCAAAACTTCTCATTCGTCGGTAAACATTTCGCATGCCAATAGATCTTCCGTGTTCTGCAAACCATTCATTTGCAATGGACCTGGTAGTGGAGAAACGGTCCCTTAAGGCCAATAATCTTAGGCGGCGATCTTCACGGTCTGTTGTTCTACGGCGGCGTCCAGTGCCCCTTGCTCTTTGCGTACGGCCTTCTCGAAGCCATGCCTGACAACACCTAACCACAGTGTCTACACTTCTTTGCACTCTAACTGCAATTGCCCGAAAAGAAAGTCCAGCTTCCCGAAGTCCCACTATACGGCCTCTATCAAACTCATTAAGTTGACGAAATCGTACAGGTCTCCGTACTCTAGGCATCGTAACCGATCGTAAAGGATGTCAAGAACCAAAATCCGCCAACGTTGATTCTTTACTGCGGCTGAAATATTCATTTTTAGAGCGTTAGTGAATTAAAAAAAGGCAGTATAAAAACCGGAATGTCCAACTGATAAGGCTGAAAATTTTTTCACTTGTTATTTACAGTAAGATAAATACATTCACCAACTTTTATTAAAATAAAAGCATTTAAACTGGGTGTTCGGATTTATATGTCACTTAGTATATATTCTATATAAATTTCTCTTTATTCTTTGACGGTTCTGTCCAAACGGTGACCTTTTCCAAGTACAATTGACACTTTTTTAACAATACATTTTATATATTTGTCTTCCAGGTGACATTTCGTTCGTTTGTCGAGAACACTTTTGGCGTTTGTTACCCAACAGTTGAGGAAATCATTTACAGGACAGTCCTAAGAAATGATAAATCAAAGTATCAAAAATATAATAGATACAAAAGGCAGATGAGCCAAACAAATAAGCTAAAGAAGTAAAAAAATATTTCACTCAACTGAGAAACATATCATAAATTCTTTAAGTAATTTCTAGTTGCTCTGAACCCCATATAATGCTTGAGCCTTATACTACTCGTAGTAACATACTGTATTACCTTGCAGCGTTATACTAATATTCATTGGAACACAGTAGCTCAGCGGATCAGGATCGTCATAAACCATTTTCCAATCTACTTGACCAGTGATGGTCTTATTGAACATTGTATACTCTTCATCTGGCTCAAACCAGCACTGTAAAAGACCAGAGTGGCCAGGTGGTATTTGAAGTCGTTGGGGTTTCACCATAAAAACACCTTTCTCTAGAATACAAACATCTCAAATCAGATTATTTTGAGACAGAAATATCCTCACTCTCCCGGGAAATGTCTCTGAATTCTGCACATTGCCGGAAAAATAATGTGACGGCCTCGAAACTGGCGCCTTGAGTAACGAGACGCCCTCGTAATATCGACGTTTATGCAACCAGGGTTGCGCCGCCGTTCATCAAGAGCGGTATAGCTCGCGGTCTCATCGAGAAGGATCGGGCGACATCGCGATCGTTCGAGATAACTCGATGAAGAGCTGGAAGGCTCTGAATTGGCCAATTTGAACGTAAATATACAGCGTCGATGGCGCACAACGCCATAGTCCACTCGACCTGGTTAAGAATTTGTCATAAACTAGTTTCAAGTGTTATACACTTTGAACATTAAAAGTGGAGTTTTCATTACAATATGTTCCGAAGTTTCCCAATGTTAATTTCGTCTCTAAAGATGAGAATGACCGCAGACGGTGAGATTTATGATCTTTTTCTCACGAGATTGGCTTTGGGCGCAAATATTCTATCAGTGTTCGAGAATACAGCTCTCCGAAATTCGAGAGAATCGCTCCTACTGTCTCTCAGTCATTATAGTCATAATATAAAATTCCATCATTATATTTACAATCTTAAAAATATAAAAATATGTTTATCAACGATGTCTTGTAACGAAACCACCATTTTTACTGTTACTACCATCTACATTACCTTTTGGCCAAGTTATTTCTATGTAGCCATCCAAACCATTTCTTATGTTGACGATCTGATAAGTGGCTTTCTCTTTGGAAGGACCAATTCGTCCAAAATCTATGAAAGGTCTATCCAAATATACATGTGGTGTACGTTTAATACTCTTGTACTCTCGAAAATACGCTCCGTAGCTTACTTTGTACTCAAAGTCGTAGTTGTAGCTCTTTAAGTTTATTTCTTTTTCGTTTATCTGTCCTTTACCATGCAATCCGATCAGATCACATGTTAGCGGTTCCTAAACAAACAAGCTATAGAGGTAGGAATGTTTTATGAAAAAAAATATTTTAATGTCACTTATGTTTGTTACACAAAAAATACTCTTTAGGGAACGCACAAATGCGTGTATGTCAGTTCTACTGCAAGCTGGTGTTTAGCAAGAATATACCGAGTGATCCAATAATAAGAAAAATGTTTAATCAAAATGGCCAATAGAAATTGCTGGAAATTATTTTCAGTTTAAAATTTAATAATTTGCAAGCGTTGTTCGTTCGTAAGTCGATTCATGGTTAAATTACAGACCAAACTGAACAAGTTTGACAATGACACAAGACACGATTCACGCGTCATCTGTCAAAAACAGTGTTGCCAAAAGGATACTAGCAAAAAAATCACCCATTATATGCAAAACTTGAAAGACATTCCTCGTAATCAAGGATAAGTAGATTTGTGTAATAATATTTCTTAACTACTATCTATAAAAGTAAATGATGCTTAGCACTACGTACAAAAAAATGTCGCACGCTTTTCCAGCTGTTTCAATATTTATCTAAATCAATAGCAAAATGGCGAAAGTCTTTGGGTACTGTCATCCATTTTCAATGCTTCTCCAAACTTGCTTCTCTTCAACTTCCATATACTTACAGATCCGAGAACCAAACAATGCAACTGCTGTGAAAAAATTCCTGGAGTCGTTGGAAGATATCTGACAGCTACGAAAATATGCTTGTTCGGTTGGATAACACCATTTCGTGGTTCGACTTTGAAAACTTTAGGCAGCCTATCACAGTCGAACTGAAACTCTGCCGGTACTTCGGATACGTTTTTGAGTTCAAACATCTTTTTACGAAGTCCTCCTTGCGGCCACGTTACAAAGGACAGTTCTCTGCAAGACACTCTCAGTACCGGTGCTGAAAAAGGTACTTAGCTCACACATTCTGAACTTTCTTCTAAAAACCGTGTTTACTTTTAAGGCTTTTTATCATTATTCAATATTCAACACAGGGTTGGGGTGCAACCATCCTCAGGGGCTCAGAGACTTCTTCTCTAGCTTTCCTTGGAGAGATGTCTGTTTCACTGACGCGGATGCGTCGACTGTCTGTTCTTCAATAACCGAAATTATCCACGTCGGAATGGAGGAATACATCCCTCACACAGTGAAAGTTCCTAAACCAGGGTCCAACGGCTGGTTCAACAAATCGTGTGACACTGCTCGCCAGCAGAAGATCAAGGCCCACAGAACCTACTTACAAAACCCCACTGTAGAGAACAGACAAGCCGACGTCGAGTCCAGAAACAAATATAACGAACCGGTTCGCAATGCCAAAACCCAGCATGATATAAAAGTTAGGCACAGGGTAATGTCGCAGCGCAATGGCAGTCGGTCTTTCTGGACGCTGGCCAAGCAGATTGAAAAGAACTTCTCACACAGTAGCCTTCCATCACTTACGTGTCAGGATGGAACTATTGTATTCGACTCAAAGGCCAAGGCGGAAGTGCTTGCCAAGATCTTTTCTCCCAACTCCACCATGAACGTCCCCACCAACGCCCAATTGCCGTCAATTCAAAGGGTTCCCCACACTATGCGGGAGGTAACATTCAGGCATAAGACCGTAAGACGAGTGCTCTTGTCGCTCGACATCAACAAAGCTTCTGGTCCGGACTTGATTCCTGCCATTGTACTGAAGAGATGTGCAGCTGAGCTTGCTCCAGTTCTTTCGCGTCTCTTCCAGATATCTTATGAATCCGGCACCTTCCCAGAAAACTGGAAATTTGCTCATGTACAGCCCATCCCAAAAAAAGGATCTAAAACCGACCCTTACAACTACAGGCCTATAGCTCTGCTTTCTGTTATAAGTAAAGTGATGGAGAGGTGCATAAATCGCGAGCTTCTGGACTACCTCGAACGTCACAGCTTGATTAGCGACAGGCAGTACGGTTTCCGGCACCAACGATCCACAGGGGACCTCCTAGCTTACGTCACGCAACTGTGGAGTAAACTCATCCAGTCTCATGGTGAGGCTCATGTCGTTGCTCTTGACATCACGAAAGCGTTCGATCAGCTGTGGCACGCTGCCCTCTTGAGCAAACTTCCATCCTACGGCCTCCCAGAAAAGCTTTGCAGATGGGTGGCTGACTTTATCTCTGGCCGCAAGATATCCGTCGTAATTGACGGATTCTCCTCTTCATCCCACAACGTCAACGCGGGTGTTCCCCAGGGATCGGTCTTGGCTCCAACACTGTTTCTCTTACATATCAACGACCTCCTTTCCTGCACGATCAACCCAATCCACAGCTTCGCTGATGACAGCACTCTACATGCAGGAATTCAGAGTGACATGCCGATCTCTGCCGCTGAGCTGGAAAAAAGAAGACTAGCGACGACGTCTTCTCTGACAAGAGACCTGGAGGCTATCACTGCTTGGGGACGCAACAATCTTGTACAATTCAATGCTTCCAAAACACAGTACTGTACTTTGACGAACAAAAAGCGTCCTAGCGCTTATACAGTTTCGATGGACGGTCGAGTTCTACCAAAGAGCCATTCATTTCGGCTGGTCGGAGTCCAGATCACCGAGGACCTGATCTGGCACGAACACATCTCTTCAATAGCTGCAGCTGCTGGGAAAAAGCTAGGGTATTTGTTTAGGGCTAAGAAGTACTTTTCTCCGCATGACCTTCTCACTCTATACAAGGCCCAGATAAGGCCTAGCCTCGAGTATTGCTCACACATTTGGGGTGCTGCCGCCCCGACTACATTGTCCATGCTCGATGCTGTCCAGAGGAGGGCGGTCCGACTGATCGATGGCTCTTCTCTAACAGACAGTCTCGGGACTCTTTCGCACCGGTGGGCCGTCGGCGATCTAGCTCTTTTCTATCGCTACACCAACGGGCTTTGCTCCTCAGAGCTCTCTTCCATGATGCCGCCCCGCGATGTGCCTGCCAGACATACCCGCCTGACTTCGGCGTCCCATCCTAACCGTGTCAAACTTCGTACATCCAGAACTGGCCGATACGACCGCTCCTTTGTCCCGAGGGTGTCTAGATTGTGGAACAAACTACGGGAGGAAGCTTTTCCCAGTTCTACTAACCTTAGGCAGTTCAAAAATCGTATTAACAAAATTTCTTTGGGATCATCATAGCAGCCGCGGTGTTCCGGCATTTAGGCTTCTGCCTGCGCGGCTGTTTCGATATAAAAAAAAAATCCACGAAGGAAAAGGAGAAACCTGTGAAAAAATTCGACCTTTGTGTTTCTTAAAATTAAGGACAATGAATATTGTGCGAAAACTTTGAGGACATAGGTTAGTTTATAGTCAAGTTATAAAAGTTGTGGGATAGTAAGAAAGACAACATAAAAATCACAGTTAAAATATCGTTCATCAAGATATTGTGACATTCTGTGCTTCAGTTATCACAAATTATTCAGGTCAACGCTCAGAAAATCATTATGATATAAAGGTTTTGCTTTGAAATTTCGATTAATTTTGAACTTAAGCTTGGATCACGATAACTTTTTGATGTCTGATGATAATCTATACTAAGTGACATATAAATCCGAACACCCAGTTTAAATGGTTTTATTTTAATAAAAGTTGGTGAATGAATTTATCTTACTGTAAATAACAAGTGAAAAAATGTTCAGCCTTATCAGTTGGACATTCCGGTTTTTATACTGCTTTTTTTTAATTCACTAACGCTCTAAAAATGAATATTTCAACCGCAGTAAAGAATCAACGTTGGCGGATTTTGGTTCTTGACATCCTTTACGATCGGTTACGATGCCTAGAGTACGGAGATCTGTACGATTTCGTCAACTTAGTGAGTTTGATAGGGGCTGTATAGTGGGACTTCGGGAAGCTGGACTTTCTTTTCGGGCAATTGCAGTTAGAGTGCAAAGAAGTGTAGACACTGTGGTTAGGTGTTGTCAGGCATGGCTTCGAGAAGGCCGTACGCAAAGAGCAAGGGGCACTGGACGCCGCCGTAGAACAACAGACCGTGAAGATCGCCGCCTAAGATTATTGGCCTTAAGGGACCGTTTCTCCACTACCAGGTCCATTGCAAATGAATGGTTTGCAGAACAAGGAAGACCTATTGGTATGCGAAGTGTTTACCGACGAATGAAAAGTTTTGGCTTGTTTTCATACCGGCCACACTGGGACCTCCCTTTAACTCGAGAACACCGACGTAATCGCCTTGAGTGGTGCAGACAACGGTCACTCTGGGATCAGGAATGGAACAGTATTGTCTTTAGTGACGAGTCTCGATCTTGTTTAGGCATGCATGATGGTCATGCCAGGGTTAGAAGGCGACGTGGTGAAAGGAGGAATCCACAGTTTTTTGTTGAAAGACATGTTCGTCACACTGTTGGAGTTATGGTTTGGGGTGCTATAGCTTATGGTTCCAGGTCACCTTTTATCTTCATCAGAGGTAACATGAACGCGCAACGTTATATCCACGAAGTTCTAGAACCCCATATTTTATCCTATCTTGACAGCCTGGCAGATCCAACTTTCCAACAAGATAATGCCCGACCACATGTTGCAAGAGTCACAATAGACTTCTTTCAACATAATGATGTCACATTGTTACCATGGCCACCAAGATCTCCCGACTTATCCCCAAATGAGCACGTGTGGGATATGATGGCTAGGAGATTGCTTAATTTGCAACGTCCTCCTTAGACTCTAGAAGCAGTTCGAGAGGAGTTGGTGGTTGCCTGGAATGAGATACCACAGGAGGACATTGACCACCTGATCAGAAGCATGCCTACAGTATATTCAGATAAGAGATAGACCGGATGAAAACAAAAGGTTCGGGTGATTTTCACGCTAACGCCGTTGTCTCGACGTAAAACAGGAGCCCTCATTGGTCAATTCGCAATTAAATGCCTATGCCGAGCGGCAGAGCAGTCGTATCAAGGCAGAGTCACATTCAGGTTCAGACGTGTTACGTATGTCGTGTGCATCATTGCAATTTGATATTTCTTTGGACGTTTTCGTTTGTTATCTTATTAAGTTGGTGAGTTTGTCGTTGTTATTGTTATACCTTGTTATTGATTGTTATTGTTATCAACTGCTTGCGCAAAATGCCCAGTAGTACAGATACTGCCGATGAAGTTGTAAACTCCTGTAGTCCACCTAGGAAACGCTCTAAAAAAAGACATCTTAGTGCAGAAATGAAAGAGGTCATTTTGAATATATATAAGATCGAGCGCGAGGAGAACGAGGCATCAACCATCAAAGAAATTGTTGTGAAGCTGATAAGCATGCGATTAGGAGGAAAGTGCATGAATTCTTCTTTAGGAATGAAATACCTACTATAGATAAAGTACTGCAGGAGGTAAATGGAGATACAACGTTGCCAAATTTCAAACGATCAACTTTCCCTGCGTTACTGAAGCATTTAAATTTCAAAAGGAAAAAACGGGGTCGTAATAGTTTACTACTGGATAGAGAAGAAATTGTGCTATGGAGGAGGGATTATTTAACAAAAATTGGGAAATATAGAAATCAAAACAGGAAGATTTATTACCTTGATGAAACGTGGGTAAACGCAGGACACACTACAAGTAAAGTATGGGTTGATGATTCTGTAACTTCATCCAGGAGGGCCTTTCTAGATGGACTGTCCACCGGATTAAAAAATCCAGCAGGTAAATACGAGTAATAGACAACAATCGGATGTTTTTCAAACCTTGGGAACAAGGTTCTAAACATTAATTCCAGGGGGCAGATAAAACATATTACAATTAACAAAACTTTTATAACTTTCGATAAAATGCGTGGATGTTTTATTGTCATTTTCATTTGTTAGAACTTTTTTAAGCCATGTTTTTATGTGTTTTCGATATTTCAATAATTTTTTAATATAATCTTAAAATATGTCGAATATTATAAACTTAAAAAAAGTTACTAAGTTTTATATTGTGTACCGTTCCTAATATTTCTAATCATTTTAATTCATACTTTAAGCTTTATAAAGTTGATATTAATATTTGCGCGTATTTCAGGTTCCTGATCATTCATTTTTTAAAGGTTTATAACTTTAAATTAAATTGTGAAGCGCTGAGTAATCATACGATGTTCAATATTCTTTCTTTCAATATAACTAAATAATCCCAATTATAGCAATCTGATACTCATGTCTCAATGTTTTTTCGCTGAATGTGATGAAAACATTTGAAAAAGGTTCGCTTATTGAAATTAATCTACACCAGTTAGTACTTCGATTTCCAGGTAAAGGGAAAAGGCTCATTATCTGCCATATTGGCAGTGAGGATGGATTTGTTGTTGACGGTGCTTTGAGTCTAAGAAAACTGGAGATTACCACGAGGAAATGAATGGCGAATCGTTTGAACAATGGTTTTCAAAAATTTTACCGAACTTAGAGGAAAACGCAGTAATTGTGTTGGATAATGCGCCTTATCATTCTCGAAGAATGGAGAAGGTCCCAACAACGGCTTCAAGGAAAGTTGATGTTCAAAATTGGCTCCGCTCGAAAAATATCAACTTTGAAGAAGCAATGCTGAAAGTACAATTATTAAGAATTGTCAAGGATCACAGGGCGGAATATCAAAAATACGCCATTGACGAAATGGCAGCAAGTCAAAATAAAACTGTGCTCCGTTTACCTCCATACCATTGCGAGCTCAATCCCATTGAGCTCATATGGGCAGAGGTTAAAAATTATATAGCTAAGCACAATACAACTTTTAAATTTTGTGACCTCAAAGGACTTTTCAAAGAAGCACTAGAATTAATAACAGCGCAAAAATGGGAAAACTGTATTAAGCACGTGAAAGACAAAGTTGAAAAGAGAATGTGGGAACTGGACAATATTTTAGAGGAACAAGTCGAGCCATTCATTATTGACGTTGGTGCTTCAGGCAGTAGCGATGATGAAAGCTCATCAAGCTCATCTTTCCAATAAAAGATGTCGTTCATCAAATTCGGTAAGTTATAAGTAATTATAAAGCTACTGTATTTTTTAATTAATTATTGACATTTTTGAACCCATTTTTGCAAAACGTATTCAAGAATCTACTTTCTGACAATGTTCAACCATGCACATTTTTTTACGTTTTGAACGTTTTAATTTGGTTACATATTTACCTAGAAATCAAAAATATACTAATCAATATTCTAAAAGCAATTTTAAGAGATATACGATTATTTTTAATTTAGGCTAATTTAAACGCCATTTTGAGATTATATTCGACTGTATTTCACCAAACATCAGGCGGCATCCGAAGCTGGAAATCGAAGCGAAAATTTTGAAACCCTTATGTATATTTACATCATTATATATTTCTTACCCCACCCCCACATGATCCTATATCCATCACCAATCGTATACACATCGAATTGTGCTAATTTACTACAAAGTTACGCAAATCAGCATCTACTATCTAAAATATGTACTGCGTGACTCTTAATATGTCCCTGCCGAATGTTACAGCGTTCGATGATCACGTGGTCTTGTTTATGTCCGGTCTATCTCTTATCTGAATATACTGTAGGCGCGTTGGAGAATGCGTAGCACATCAGGGTGCATCCACACATTATTAAAGGTCAAAGGGCTTTAAAGCAGTGCAATCATTTTGAAATTTTTATCATTTACTTATTATGCTTCATTATTAAAATAAAACCATTTAAACTGGGTGTTCGGATTTATATGTCACTTAGTATACATGGACTTCCGTTTTCTTCTCGTTTCTTCTTCAAATTTTGACATTTCGACCTCACGTGAACACAACTGCGCTCTCAGAGCACGGAGAAAAATACTGATCGGTGTAAATTGAAAACACTGTGATCTCACGTCAGCGAGAATCACTGGCACGTCACGGCTGAGTGTCGATGGACCTTCACACTTATTGTAGTCGTCATTTTCTGCAGCAAAGCGTATAATATACCCGTTCGAAAATAAATGTTGATGGTATTGTGATTAGTTGCAGTTCAGTAAATTTTGCTTTAAGTGCAGATAGTTCTCTACAATGTGAAAAATCTTGCCAAATTGGGCACAGTGTCTAACAGGCTACTGAGTTTAGGCCTCACTGGTAATACTGTAGTTTTAGAATGTCTTACCAATACTCAGTCCTTTGCAATTCACTTTAAAAGCTCTACGGCCATCAATTGAAACCACAAATGTATTGAAGTCCATTCTTTGGGGTAAAATCGGATAATAGCAGATCTTCAGTTTTAATGTGCCCTTCCGTGGGATTTTTCCTCGCCTTTTATTGAATGTAAATACCTGGTAAATAGGGATAATCTCTGGTTCCTCAGTGATTCCATAGTTGAGCGGTTCCTTGAAATGTAAAGGTCGGTAAATTACATATTCTATAACGAACTGATTTTATTTTCGGACACTGTAAAAAATGATTTTATTTGAATCAAATTTTGTATGCAGTTAGACATAAGGGAAAAGAAGTCGCGATTAAAATCCTTTTTGATCAACAGCCTGTTAGAAGTAGTATTTTCAATCCGTTCCATCTGATTCCTTCATGGTGTGTAAAGGGATGACGGTTGTTTTTTCATTTTTTCTGCAATCGTAACTTGTCCGCGAATAATAGTACAGCTTCGAAATTGTATGACAATATTCCACATTTATAGTAGTTTAGCTTGTTGTGTTGTTGTTTCAAAAAAATAGTTGGTTTTCTTGAAGAAACAAACTAAGTTTTTGAGAAAAAAGTCACGCCGTTCATAAAAAAGACATTACATGGTTTTCGAGATCTCATATCAGTTTGATATTAATTTTGAGGAAAACTCGCCTCCTGTCCACGCCTACCGCGGATGATGAGTTGCCGTAAGGCAGCCATGCCTGTCTCTTGACTTTGATCGTTTCCGCCTATTCATTCTGTTCGCTACTGATGGTAGTCCGTGCATGTGATTTGGGGTAAGAAATTGGTAAAACACTAATTGTTCGGGGCTATCCCTGAATCCTAGCAATAAATTGACATGAAACCCGGAATCTACGCACCCAATTTACATAGAAAACAAGCTTTCATCTAGGCTAGGTCATAGAGGCGCAACGGTTTTTGAAATTTTTATTAGTCGTTTTTTGACAAAGTAGAAATCTTGCCAGTATCTCGAGAATGAGGCATTTTCAGACTGAATGGACTTCGAACTGACCCATTTTTTGTAAGAATAGATGGTTGCTAAAAATTAAAAAGGTTCAATTAATTGGTTTTTGACTCAAGTAATAAAAATAAACTTAGCAAACTATAAGTATATTTGGAATCAGAAAAAACTTTCACTGAAAATATGTGAAATTTTAAAAAATACATCTTTATTCGATAGCATTTTTCTGAGGCAGCGTCCAATACTTTGACTACTTGATCATTTCTTGATGTTTTGACTGAGATGTTGTTACGTGTTTTATTATATTTTTATAACAAACATTTCTACTTTGTATTTGTGCCCATATACAGAGTGGCGCATCGAAAACGAAACAGACGCATTTACTGGCAGCTAGTTTTTTTAAAACGCTCAGACCCGTCGATTTTGATTTCGAGGGGGACGCAAGTTTGGCAAAAAACACCACCCCCACAATCTTAAATGGAAAGGGGGGTCGAGTGATACCTTACTTTAAAGGTCTTTCAATTCCCTTTATGATGATATAAAATTAATGTACTTCAGTTCAGTAGTTTTGAAGATTTATTGGTTTAAACCTTAAAGCTTAAAGTAGACTTTAATATACTAATTGACATATAAATCCGAACACTCAGTTTAAATGGTTTTATTTTAATAAAAGTTGGTGAATGTATTTATCTTACTGTAAATAACAAGTGAAAAAATGTTCAGCCTTATCAGTTGGACATTCCGGTTTTTATACTGCTTTTTTTTAATTCACTAATGCTCTAAAGATGAATATTTCAGCCGCAGTAAAGAATCAACGTTGGCGGATTTTGGTTCTTGACATCCTTTACGATCGGTTACGATGCCTAGAGTACGGAGACCTGTACGATTTCGTCAACTTAGTGAGTTTGGTAGGGGCCGTATAGTGGGACTTCGGGAAGCTGGACTTTCTTTTCGGGCAATTGCAGTTAGAGTGCAAAGAAGTGTAGACACTGTGGTTAGGTGTTGCATGGCTTCGAGAAGGCCGTACGCAAAGAGTAAGGGGCACTGGACGCCGCCGTAGAACAACAGGCCGTGAAGATCGCCGCCTAATATTATTGGCCTTAAGGGACCGTTTCTCCACTACCAGGTCCATTGCAAATGAATGGTTTGCAGAACACGGAAGACCTATTGGCATGCGAAGTGTTTACCGACGAATGAGAAGTTTTGGATTGTTTTCATACCGGCCACACTGGGTCCTCCCTTTAACTCGAGAACACCGACGTAATCGCCTTGAGTGGTGCAGACAATGGTCACTCTGGGATCAGGAATGGAACAGTATTGTCTTTAGTGACGAGTCTCGATTTGGTTTAGGCATGCACGATGGTCGTGCCAGGGTTAGAAGGCGACGTGGTGAAAGGAGGAATCCACAGTTTATTGTTGAAAGACATGTTCATCACACTGTTGGAGTTATGGTTTGGGGTGCTATAGCTTATGGTTCCAGGTCACCTTTAATCTTCATCAGAGGTAACATGAACGCGCAGCGTTATATCCACGAAGTTCTAGAACCCCATCTTTTACCCTATCTTGACACCCTGGCAGGTCCAACTTTCCAACAAGATAATGCCCGACCACATGTTGCAAGAGCCACAATAGACTTCTTTCAACATAATGATGTCACATTGTTACCATGGCCACCAAGATCTCCCGACTTATCCCCAATTGAGCACGTGTGGGAAATGATGGGTAGGAGATTGCTCAATTTGCAACGTCCTCCTCAGACTCTAGAAACCCTTCGAGAGGAGTTGGTGGTTGCCTGGAATGAGATACCACAGGAGGACATTGACCACCTGATCAGAAGCATGCCTAGGCGCGTTGGAGAATGCGTAGCACATCAGGGTGCATCCACACATTATTAAAGGTCAAAGGGCTTTAAAGCAGTGCAATCATTTTGAAATTTTGATCATTTACTTATTATGCTTCATTAAGTACTTATACAAAATTTTATTAAAATAAAACCATTTAAACTGGGTGTTCGGATTTATATGTCACTTAGTATAGGTACATCAGATTAGTTTGTACTACTTTCAGAAGAAATTTGACTAAAAGAATTTACTGAATCCCCCTCGAAAAAAAATCGACGGGTTTGAGCGTTTTTCCAAAAAAAAAAACTGAGATACCAGTAAATGCGTCCGTTTCGTTTTCGATGCGTCACCCTGTATAATTATACTATCAGCTATTATTTTAATTTTTGTCTTGGTTTATATCGTAAAGCAGCTAATAAGGTGAATGTGTCCAGGCAAATAAAGTCATTTTATTATTATCTATCGAATGTAGATGGTGCCTTCGAGGTGGTATTCAAAAGGTGAAAGCACACGGACTTTCTAGATCTCTGTCCTACCTCATTTCGAACATCCTCTGTGATTGTTTCATAGTACTTTCCATATACACGAACTTTTCCAAAATCGATGTCTATAGTTTTGAGCTGTTCTTGAGCTGCGCTATAGTTGTTCGGTAGAATAGGCTCGTTGGAATACTCTTGGCAATCGCACGGCCTATCCATCTTGTTTATAGGGACACGATAAAGGTTGCAGTATGACAGATGTCACATATAATGTGACAAGTCGGTGATTACTTAGGCTTTTCACTCACGAGTTTACTTTTTTGCGATTGAAGACCTCGGTGCACATTATAGAAAGTTTTCGGAAATTAAGGAAAACTTGATGTTTTGTTTTAAAGATATGAAAAAAAAACATTTTATTTTATGGTATAAATACCGTCGTACCTAATATGAAACAACATAAAAACATTAATCCAAACATATAATTTTTGTATAAAATTTGGACTTAACTGGTTTTTTGTCAGAACATTATAATGAAATAATGGAAAAATTTGTTCAAACAGTTTTAATAGTCAAAGAGAACAGAACCAATACAACTTAAAAAAGGGGTAAAAAAAATAAATCTACAGTTACAAAAATGATGAATAGGAGTCGTAAGCATCATCGCCTGTAGCAACGACTTCCGGTGGAACTTCAATATTTTCGGCGGCCCGTACGTGTTTTGCTGATAAAAGTTTAACTTCAGCAGCTTTTTTTTATAGGGTTATTTCATATGTGAACTTGGAAAGCGCAATACCATATTTTCTTTTCCAATATAAAACCTTGAAAAACTGGGATGGACGTTGCAATACAGCATTTTACATATTTGAATCCGTTTTGATAATGGAAAAGTCGGTAGGTTGAAATGCAGACTTAGAAAAAGCTTTAAGATGTGAATGACGTTTACAACTTTAAACTTTTTTGAAGTTAAACGTACTATTTTTTCCTCATTAATCGGGAATATGGATATGGTCATTTTTCAGGGCAGCGTATGCATTTTTTGCCTTTTTTAGGGGAACGTCAATATTCGTCAATCTTCTTCAAGGTTCCAGTCTCCAGAAGAAGCAGTTGAAGCTTTCAAAAATGCCGTTCTGGATCTGCCAGTAAACGAGTCGAATAAGTGCTTCAAAAATTGGTTTGAGTGCATGCAGATGTGTATTAATCTTGGTGGAGAATACTTCGAAAAACAATAAAGTCGTTTAAAACTACCTACCGTGTTGTTTTATTTCCATATGCAAAACTTAAAAGACAACTTAATACAACGGCATGATAATCGAAGATATACTAAGTGACATAAATCCGAACACCCAGTTTAAATGGTTTTATTTTAATAAAAGTTGGTGAATGTATTTATCTTACTGTAAATAACAAGTGAAAAAATTTTCAGCCTTATCAGTTGGACATTCCGGTTTTTATACTGCTTTTTTTTTAATTCACTAACGCTCTAAAAATGAATATTTCAGTCGCAGTAAAGTATCAACGTTGGCGGATTTTGGTTCTTGACATCCTTTACGATCGGTTACGATACCTAGAGTACGGAGACCTGTACGATTTCGTCAACTTAGTGAGTTTGATAGGGGCCGTATAGTGGGACTTCGGGAAGCTGGACTTTCTTTTCGGGCAATTGCAGTTAGAGTGCAAAGAAGTGTAGACACTGTGGTTAGGTGTTGTCAGGCATGGCTTCGAAAAGGCCGTACGCAAAGAGCAAGGGGCACTGGACGCCGCCGTAGAACAACAGACCGTGAAGATCGCCGCCTAAGATTATTGGCCTTAAGGGACCGTTTTTCCACTACCAGGTCAATTGCAAATGAATGGTTTGCAGAACACGGAAGACCTATTGGCCTGCGAAGTGCTTACCGACGAATGAGAAGTTTTGGCTTGTTTTCATACCGGCCACACTGGGTCCTCCCTTTAACTCGAGAACACCGACGTAATCGCCTTGAGTGGTGCAGACAACGGTCACTCTGGGATCAGGAATGGAACAGTATTGTCTTTAGTGACGAGTCTCGATTTTGTTTAGGCATGCACGATGGTCGTGCCAGGGTTAGAAGGCGACGTGGTGAAAGGAGGAATCCACAGTTTTTTGTTGAAAGACATGTTCATCACACTGTTGGAGTTCTGGTTTGAGGTGCTATAGCTTATACGAAGTTCTAGAACCCCATCTTTTACAATATCTTGACACCCTGGCAGATCCAACTTTCCAACAAGATAATGCCCGACCACATGTTGCAAGAGTCACAATAGACTTCTTTCAACATAATGATGTCACATTGTTACCATGGCCACCAAGATCTCCCGACTTATCCCCAATTGAGCACGTGTGGGATATGATGGGTAGGAGATTGCTCAATTTGCAACGTCCTCCTCAGACTCTAGAAGCACTTCGAGAGGAGTTGGTGGTTGCCTGAAATGAGATACCACATGAGGACAGTGACCACCTGATCAGAAGCATGCCTAGGCGCGTTGGAGAATGCGTAGCACATCAGGGTGCATCCACACATTATTAAAGGTCAAAGGGCTTTAAAGCAGTGCAATCATTTTGAAATTTTTATCATTTACTTATTATGCTTCATTAAGTACTTATACAAAATTTTATTAAAATAAAACTATTTAAACTGGGTGTTCGGATTTATATGTCACTTAGTATAGGTACATCAGATTAGTTTGTAATACTTTCAGAAGAAATTTGACTAAAAGAATTTACTTAATCCCCCTCGAAAAAAAAATCGACGGGTTTGAGCGTATTTCCAAAAAAAAAATTGAGATGCCAGTAAATGCGCCTGTTTCGTTTTCGATGCGTCACCCTGTATAATTATACTATCAGCTATTATTTTAATTTTTGTCTTGGTTTATATCGTAAAGCAGCTAATAAGGTGAATGTGTCCAGGCAGATAAAGGCATTTTATTATTATCTATCGAATGTAGATGGTGCGTTCGAGGTGGTATTCAAAGGTGAAGACACACGGACTTTCTACATCTCTATCCTACCTCACTTTGAACATCCTTTGTGATTGTTTCATAGTACTTTCCATATACTGGAACTTTTCCAAAATCGATGTCTACAGTTTTGAGCTGTACTTGAGCTGCGCTATGGTTTTTCGGTAGAATAGGCTCGTTGGAATACTCTTGGCAATCGCACGGCCCATCCATTTTGTTTATAGGGATAATATAAAGGTTGCAGTATGACAGATGTCAAATATAATGTGACAAGTCGGTGATTACTTAGGCTCTTCACTCACGAGTTGACTTTTTTGCAATTGAAGACCTCGGTGCAAAAAACAGGTAAGTCACATTATAGAAAGTTTTCGGAAATTAAGAAAAACTTGATGTTTTGTTTTAAAAATATGAAAAAAAAAATTTTATGGTATAGATACCGACCTACCTAATATGAAACAACATAAAAACATTAACATTGTAGAAAATTTGGTTGTTGTTGGTAGAGCAAGGGGCACTGGACGCCGCCGTAGAACAACAGACCGTGATGATCTCCGCCTAAGATTATTGGCCTTAAGGGACCGTTTCTCCACTACCAGGTCCATTGCAAATGAATGGTTTGCAGAACACGGAAGACCTATTGGCATGCGAAGTGTTTACCGACGAATGAGAAGTTTTGGCTTGTTTTCATACCGGCCACACTGGGTCCTCCCTTTAACTCGAGAACACCGACGTAATCGCCTTGAGTGGTGCAGACAACGGTCACTCTGGGATCAGGAATGGAACAGTATTGTCTTGTGACGAGTCTCGATTTTGTTTAGGCATGCACGATGGTCGTGCCAGGGTTAGAAGGCGACGTGGTGAAAGGAGGAATCCACAGTTTTTTGTTGAAAGACGTGTTCATCACACTGTTGGAGTTATGGTTTGGGGTGCTATAGCTTATGGTTCCAGGTCACCTTTAATCTTCGTCAGAGGTAACACGAACGCGCAGCGTTATATCCACGAAGTTCTGGAACCCCATCTTTTACCCTATCTTGACACCCTGGCAGATCCAGAAATTTTTATCATTTACTTATTATGCTTCATTAAGTACTTATACAAAATTTTATTAAAATAAAACCATTTAAACTGGGTGTTCGGATTTATATGTCACTTAGTATATAATGGGTTTTTGTTTGATAAAAATTAATTATCTCTAGGAATCACTATGCAGGATTCGTCATGAAATAATGCGACGACATCATATCAGAACCATAATTTATTGAAAAGCAAAGTAACAAAAATAAAAACAAACTAAAACATAATGAGGTAGATAAAATTTCTAAACGCAAACTATAATATAGATATCGCACTATCTAATAAAATACATACATTTGAACGTACATAGAAAACACAAAAGAGAATTTTTACCTTACACAGCCTTCAAAATATAAATATATTACAGTTTTTGTACATAGCTTTGTGATTTTCATAGTTTCTTCCTGTTAATTGAAAAATTCATACGAGGTTTTCAAATGTACTTTCTGCTTTAGAAGTATCGTCATTGATTTTGGAACTACCCTGTCACATATGTATAGGATTATTCACTGGTATCACGTAATAAATATTACTAAAGACACATTGCGGAAATCAAAGCAATAGTTAACAACAATGCACGAGGATATACAATCACAGAACAATCCGTGACAAAATCGCTGTCGGCTTCATCATCGGACTCAGTATCTGTAGCTGTAGACTTATAACATATTTTTTCGGCGTACTGTTCCGTCGAATTTCTGTTGCAATCGCTGCTACAACACACACTTACATTACGCTTGTCGAAATCTACTAGCAAACCCGTGAAGAAGTCGCAGTCCCACGGGTTGCTTTCTACGAATATTTCGACCAGCTTCGGGAAGCTATAGAACAGCTTCAAGCTGAAACTGTCTAGTTCGTTATGACTGATATCCAAAACCGACAAGGAACTTTGGATTTCATACTTCAAGTTCAACAAGAACTCACTCAAGTAATTTTTCCTTAGAAATAAGTACCGTAAGTTTTCCAAGTTGCTGAAATAATCAAAATACCAAACGAATTTTAATTGGTTGTAAGACAAGTCTAACATTTCGAGGCTGTCCAGCCCAACGAAGCCATATCGCCTGATGAGGCTAATTTTGTTGACAGCAAGATGCAGCGCTTTGAGGTTTTTCATACCGTTGAAGGTACTCGTTTGGATCTCGGTCAGATTATTATACATTAACTGTAAATCTAGAAGACTAGTCAACGGCTTAAAGTTATATTGTACCAGGTAAGTAATACTGTTGTTATTCATATACAAAAAATTCAGACTTCTCAGATTCGCGAAAGCATTCTGGTGGATTTCTACGATCCGGTTTCGTTCCAGATGCAATATCTTCAGCCGTATCAAATGACGGAACACATTCTCTTCGAGTCTGGTCAGCTCGTTGTCACTTAAATACAGATATTTGAGATTCGCCAGTCCCGCGAACGCTTCCGGCTGTACGTTGTAAATCTGATTGAAATTCAAATTCAGCAAATCCAAATTTTCCAGGTCCAGAAACAGGTTGTTCGTAAGAATCTGCATCTCGTTGTTGCTCAGATCCAGCTGTATCAATCTCTTCGCGCCATAAAAACATAACGGATCGAGCACGTTGACGCTGTTGTTCCTCAGATTCAACACTTTGAGCATATAAAACTTTTTGAACGCGAACTTTTTCAACACTCGTATCCTAGCGCTATGCAGGTTGAGCACGCTGACGTTGTTCCTGCGAGGAACGTTGAAACTGTACTCGTCCAACACGTTCAGGAAGCAATCGTCGCAGGAGATCTTGTACGTCTTGTTGAACGGAGTCCGCAAATTTTGGAAGTAGTGAATGTTGGCGTGCGTGCAGTTCAGTTCCAGGCCTTTGGCGGTCGTGCTGAACGCGCAGTAGTTCTCTTCCGGCTCAAAGTTCGTGCGGACCTCCAGCAGCGATACTGACAGTATCAGGAGAATCCATTTTGCCATCGTAGCTGGAACAAAGAAAAATTTGCGTCAATCCAATCTGAAAATAACACTGGTCAACACGAACTTTGACAGCTAATTTTGTTTTATCAGTCTACCCTCATTATTACATGACAGCTGTCATATGTCTATTAGCCTCATATCTGTTGTGATACGGTAATACTCATAACTAGTACTACGGCAGTAAATTAACAGAAACGCTTACAAGTAAATCCTTATAAAAATATTTGTTGTTGAATTTGAACACTTTTTTGTGATTTATTAACCCTGTGAATATGTAGAGGAAGTGTAATAATGATCCTAACTCTTTTTGTTATGTCTGCGGAGAACTAACATTCAAAAAACAACGACGAAATTTTACGAATCTTGTGTTGGAGTGTTATTACCAATGTTTTGGTTTTTCTGTCGCCCATCAAGACAAATCCTGGGCCCCTCATGTCTGTTGCATAACGTGTGTGAAAAATTTAACTGACTGGAAGAAAGGTGCACGACCTATGCCGTTTGCTGTGTACCCATGATATGGAATGAACAGCGAGATCACGTTTCAGATTGCTATTTTTGTCTCACAGACATAAAAGGTATAAATTACAAGAAAAAAACCACAGTTATTTACCCTAACTTATCTTCGGCTATAAGACCAGTATCTCATTGTAAAAAATTGCCAGAACTAATACCAGTTGCAACTACCCTCAGTTGAGAGCAATTCACAACCGTCCACTTCAGGTGAATGTGTTGACGAGGACGATGACTTTGAGTTAAAAGGAATTGTAAACGAGCCACATTTGATAACTCAAGGAGACCTAAATGATTTGGTTCGGGATTTAAATTTGTCAAAAAAGCAGTCAGAACTATTAGGATCACGTCTAAAAGAATGGAATTTGCTACATCATAATACAAAAGTTAGCTATTTTCGAAACCGTGATCAACACTTCAGAACGTATTTTTCTCAGGATGGAGATTTGGTGTTTTGCAATAACATAAATGAGATTATGAAAATGTTGGACATAGATTTTGATCTCTCTCAGTGGCGTTTATTCATTGATTCTTCGAAAGCAAGACTAAAAGCAGTGTTATTGCATAATGGAAGTAAGCTTCCGTCTGTACCTCTGGCCCATGCTGCAAATATGAAAGAAACCTATGAAAATATGAAACTTTTACTTGAAAAAATAAATTACAATTCCTTCAAAATCTGCGGTGATCTTAAAGTTGTTGCACTGTTACTTGGACTTCAGCTGGGTTATACAAAGTTTTGCTGCTTTTTATGTGAATGGGATAGCCGAGACAGAACTAATCACTATATAAAAAAAAACATGGCCTACGCGTGCATCGTTAGTTCCTGGGCAAAAAAACGTAAAGTATTTACCCCTTGTACAGCCAAATAATGTGCTTCTACCACCATTGCATATCAAACTAGGGTTAATAAAAAATTTTGTGAAGGCAATGGATCGCAATGGGAGTGGATTTTTGTATCTAAAAGAAGAATTCCCTAAAATAAGTGATGCAAAGATAAAAGAGGGTATTTTTGTTGGCCCTCAAATTAGGGAGTTAATAAAAGATTCAAGATTTGAAGAAAAATTAAGCGATTTAGAAACATCTGCATGGAAGGCTTTTAAAAATGTTGTTGCAAATTTTTTGGGTAACCACAAGAGTGACAGCTACAGAGAGTTGGTTAGCGAGCTATTATTGTCATATCAAGCATTGGGTTGCAACATGTCACTTAAGATCCATTTTTTAGACTCGCACCTGGATTTTTTTCCTGACAATTTAGGGGCTGTCAGCGACGAGCACGGTGAGAGGTTCCATCAGGACATTTCTAATATGGAAAAGCGGTACCAGGGCAAATGGAGCCCAAATATGTTAGCAGATTACTGCTGGACAATTAAAAGGGACCAACCAGAAGCTAAATATTCAAGAAAATCTTAGATTATTAAGTCATTTATAAAAAAAAAATAACTTTTGATTTGCGAGATCTGTGTTTTTTCTTAATATTTTAAATTACTCAATAGAATAAAATCCTTGTCTAGCAAATTTTTTTTAACTGTTTATTTTTTCTTACAATCACCAATTAAAGTAAAAAATATCAAAAAAGTCCGTGTGGCACGACAAAGTTAAAATTTTGTTGACCAGTGTAATTTTCCTTTGGTCATTTTTATCATAATTTGCAGCCGGCCTCGTTTATCTTGTCCTACATGTCATCGAACGTATCTCATTAACGAAATCCTTAGCGATTACAATAATAATAATAATAATAATAATAATGTTTATTGTCACAAAATACAGGTAAATATCAAATATTGTGCACAATAAACATAAAGCACCCAAAAAAAGTTTGCACTTGTGTTTGGGTTTGTTAAAAATAAAAACTAATAGTACAGTCAGTGTATACAAAAAAACCGTTAATACTGTATAATTTGGTGAATTATTATGGTAATGTCAGGGAAAATATCCAGACAATTATAACTAAAGTAAAAGTATGGATGTTAGTGTAAGTAAAATATTATTGATTTTGATAATGATTTTTCAGATCTACAACTTCGTGGATGGAGTACCTCGGTTCTTGTAAAATCCATTTTTTTAGTTTTAAATGATTTATTTGATTTAATTAATAATAATAATATAATAATATTTATTCACTCAATGTACAAAGATAACAAACAATATGAGTAAATAAATATAAATCAAAACTGGCCCAATAGAAGGCATCGCCTGTACATGGACCAATAATTTAAGTTGAAACATGCAAATGACAAAAAAGGACAAAAATTACCTACAGTAGATTATGTATTTAGCTGATGTTCGTATTTATGAGTTTATGAATTTCAGTCCTAGATATAGAATGTAGCCACTTTTTTAAATCTCTTTTGAAACAATTTGCGAAACGTAAATCTTTTAAGTCTTTAGGTATAATTTCATAAAATTTAGGCGCTAAATAGAGATATGATCGCTGCAGTATAGATTTATGCGGATGAGGAACTACCGTGCCACGAATTTTGTACCTGGTATAATGATTATGTTTAATTTTTTGGTCGGTGTTTACAAATTTATGGTAGTGAGTGATACTGTGTAAGAAATAAAGCTGTCTTATATCATACATTCGAACATCTGCGTATAATTTTTCAGTGGGATAAAGTTTCGGTTTTTTAAATATCATTTTTAGAATACTTTTTTGAAAAACATCTAAATTATAGATATGTGAGGAACATGAAGCTCCCCATGCTAATATACCATATGTGAGATGAGGCTCAATCAGTGCATGGTATAATGTTCGATGATATCTTTCTGTCAATATGTTCCCAAGGTATTTAATTTTGTAGGATACAAATCTAACTTTCTTTAAAATATAATTTACATGGATGTCCCATCGTAAGTGAGGATCGAAGACCACTCCAAGGTATTTTATGTTGGGCACTCTATTAATTTGCATTTTTTGATCATTAATGTTGAAGGAGAAATTTGTGTAATTTGGCAGATGTCTAGCATAAGATCCAAATGGTAAAAAATGTGTTTTAGAGTAATGCTTAATTTTCTTTTGTTAAACCACCGAATAATTTTGATAAAATCATTTTCAATTACATTTTTCAGATCAGACCAGTCAGTGCCTTCATATAATATTGCAGTATCATCTGCAAAACTAGTTATTTTGCCAACACAATTAATTTGGAAAATATCATTTAAATTTATATTGAATAACAGCGGACCTAAGACAGTCCTTGTGGGACACCACACTTAATATACATTTCTTTACTAAACGACCCTGATATCTGCACAGATTGTGGGCGATTTGACAAATAACTTTCGATCAGTGAGTACGCGTTTCCTCTGAAACCAATTCTCTCCAATGCTTCTAATAATAATTTGTGATTAACTGTGTCGAAAGCTTTCTTTAAATCAACAAAAATGCAGATTGAAGGGATTCTGTTATCAATATTTTGATGTATTTGATTTACAATTTTAGTTATTGCGTCCGATGTAGCCTTCCCTTCTGTAAATCCATATTGATTTTCACTTAAAATTTTGAATTTTGTGAGGTATCGAATCATTCTAGTAGATAAAACTTTTTCAAAAACTTTTGCTACACTGGATATTATTGATATTGGTCTATAGTTGTTAACATCTGTTTTTGTTCCTGATTTATGTATCGGTATTATATTACCTTTTTTAAAATTGAGGGATATATGCCACATCCAAAGCATTTGTTGATTAGGTAAGTGAGTGGTTCTGTTATGTCCTCGGCTATAATTTTCAAATGCTCGCTTTTAATACCATTTTAATGACTCTGGTATGAAGTTATAGAAATTTGGTCCTCAGAAAAACAGAGATCGTTGTGTAATGGTTCTTGATGTTTGTGGAATACACATTGAATTTTGATTGAATCTTGTTGAGTAGTTATGAATGGTACGTTCAAGTATTTCGAATATTTGAAATAATGTATTAGACCATAATAAAAATAAATTTGTCTGCAATCTAATAGCTGAGCCTCCACATATAGAAAATCACTTGAATAAGTAATCTCCCTATGGAGAATCAATTTCAAGTATTTTATTTTATCGGTTGACTGAATCTCTTTGAGAAGAAAATGCTATATAGTGTATTTTGTTGTAATTAATTGTCATACTTCTTTCCGAAAAGAAATTTATAAATGTTTTGAAATCATGTTCGATTGTGGTTTTTAGTGTAGGTATGCCACTGGTTGCTTTCATAGAGAATAGCTGCATCATCCGCAAAACCGATAACTTTACCTGTACTACTTATTTTGAACAAATCGTTGATAAATAGATTAAATAAAATGGGTCCTAATACTGAGCCCTGAGGTACACCGTATGATATAATATGGGGTTCACTGAATGTGTTATTAATCTTGACGCTCTGTGTTCGATTTGATAAATAATTTTCTGTAAGTTTGTATGTTATTCCCCGGAAACCTAAGTTTTCTAAAGTTGTTAAAAGCGATTCATGAGTAATAGAGTCGAACGCCTTTGCCAAGTCAACAAAAACACATGCAGTTGGT